TAAATGCCAAAGGAACAAATGGAGTGGGTTATACTTTTACCAACCTGTATCCTGAAGCCTAGAGAGCAGGGAAAAGCTGCTTAAAAACTCCCTAGAATGAAAATGCCTACTTGGGTAGGAGCAGTCCATTGGCATAAAACAGGAGGTTGGAGCTTTGGGGCAATCAATTTTAAGGTCTCTATCTTTCAGGATGCACAGGTTCCACAGTGGTTCATATTGTTATATACTCTCTCCACTCCACTTTTTTCCTCCTTGAACAAATCAAAATAATTTTTTTGGGGGGGGGACGTCTAAAAAGTATTGTGAGTCCTAGGCACTGAGTCTCCTGTACCTTACTAATAATAAGTCAGTTCTGTTTAGTGCCTGGGGGAACTGGTTGGTAATGTTTTGATCATCACCCCAGGTGTGCATCAGAATTAGAGTTACACTGTACATCAGAAGTAGAAAACTGAATGCCTACAAGCAGGCTAGGTATGGGGAATTTGTCCACCGTATATGATGAAGGGGCGCCTAAATTGGTGTGCACAGCCCTTTTCCCAATAGGTCGCTGTAGGCTACCTCACCCAGATTGTCACCCAGTGTTGCCAGACTTCCCCATTTTCATTTTATTTTATTTTATGAAGGAGTTTTGCTTTTGTCGCCTAGGTTGGAGTGCAATGGCACAATCTTGGCTCACCGCAACCTCCACCTCCTGGGTTCAAGCAATTCTTCAGCCTCAGCCACCCTAATAGCTGAGATTACAGGCATGTGCCATCATGCCCAGCTAATTTTCTATTCCCCATTTTTTAAGAAAGGCTAGAAACCCTGAGCTTTATGTAAAATCTCTCTGTTTTAAAATGCTAGCTCAAATTTCAAAGAAAAAAATCTCCCTGAATGAACCAAACAGAACATCTCAGTACTGTATATGGCATTATTTTGTAATTTCTCTTGAACGTATCTGCTACAGGGAGAAGCCTTAAAAACAAATGGCAGGTGTGGGCACCAGAGAATCAACACATCAGGAAGAGAAAAATGGCATGGTTTTAGTGTAACTGTAAAAAAGTAATACTAGTTGCAGTAAGTTGTATGATTTATGTGTAGTCCCTTAGCACTTATAATTGTTAATCTAATTATTCAGATTCCATAAAATTCCATTAGGATTATTTCATGAATTTGTAATTTGAGTAATAGGGCCAGACTTTCATGACTTAATAGGGCCAGGATTTCATGTATTGAGAACTCTTGCTCATAATTGTGATTCTGATTTTTTTTTTTCCTGATATAGGGTCTCACTCTGTTGCCCAGACTGGAGTGCAATGGCAAGATTTCCAGTGCTCAAGTGGTCCTCCCACCTCAGCCTCCTTTCTGGGACTACAGATGTGTGCCACCACATCTGGCTAATTTTTAAATTTTTTTTTTGTAAAGATGAGGTTTTCCCATGTTGCTCAGGCTGGTCTTGAACTCATCGGCTCAAGCCATCTGCCTGCCTTGATCTGCCCACTTTGGCCTCCTAAAGTGCCAGGATTAGAGGCCTGAGCCACCATGCCTGGCCATGATTTTGAATTTTTAAAAGTGTACTTAACCTTTAATAAAGGCCTATGTATTATTTCTAGTCAGATCACCTTTTTCTGACTTGCTTTGGGGCTAACAGTATAAAAAAGAAGAGGCTGGGTGTGGTGGCTGGCTCACGCCTGTAATCCCAGCACTTTGGGAAGCTGAGATGGGCGGATCACCTGAGGTTGGGAGTTCAAGAACAGCCTGACCAACATGGAGAAACCCCCTCTTGACTAAAAATATAAAAATTAGCTGGGTAGTGGCTCATGCTTGTAATTCCAGCTACTTGGGAGGCTGAGGCAGGAGAATCACTTGAACTTGGGAGGTGGAAATTGCGGTGAGCTGAGACTGTGCCATTGCACTCCAGCCCTGGGGAACAAGAGCAAAACTCCATCTCAAAATAAATAAATAAATAAACAAGTAAGAGAGGAAAGAAGTCTGCATTTCTTTGTTTTTAACTCTTTAGGAATATTTAGTAAAAATTCTTAGGACTTTGGAGATTTGACTGAAAAGCTGCATATATTCACTTTTTAGTGACAAAATCAGCCTGTGGCATTGTCAGAACACCACAAGCCATACCCAGTCACACTTCTTTTCATCTCAGCTGATGATTTCACTTTCTTTTTTTTTTTTTTTGAGACGGAGTTTCGCTCTTGTTACCCAGGCTGGAGTGCGATGGCGCGATCTCGGCTCACCGCAACCTCCGCCTCCTGGGTTCAGGCAATTCTCCTGCCTCAGCCTCCTGAGTAGCTGGGATTACAGGCACGCACCACCATGCCCAGCTAATTTTTTGTATTTTTAGTAGAGACGGGTTTTCACTATGTTGACCGGGATGGTCTCGATCTCTGGACCTCGTGATCCACCCTCCTCGGCCTCCCAAAGTCCTAGGATTACAGGCTTGAGCCACCGCGCCCGGCTGATTTCACTTTCTAATCCTGTACTGTAAATAGTTAAGATCTAGTGTGCTGAGCTCTTCAGAGTGGGAAGTATAGGTTCCTTGTAAACAGAAGCAGGGTTTCTGATTTAGGATTGGTGGAGAGGGAAGACTGTAAGCCTTCCTGGAGGAAGTGACCTCTTCACCAAGAGAATTTGGTTAGACTTCAATGAGAGGTCAGGGCAAGGTTGAGGGAAGAGGCCCAGAACTGAAACAATATGACAGATTTCAGCACTGGAAGTAAATTCAATTGGATTGGTGGGTGCAAGTCATTGTATTTTAATTTTATGTACAGCACTTGTCACTTTCCGATCATTTCTTGTTTACTGTCTGTTCTTCTACCCTCAGCCCCTCACACATGAGGCCTGGCCTGCTGATTGCTTAGTGACTAGCACAGATGTCAATCTTTCCTGAGGGCCAGCCTTGTGTCAGATCCTAAGTGCTTCCCTCGCTCCCCACCCTGCCATTTAATAAAATTCTACCTCTTCAGAGCTGGCTCATATGCTTTCTTCTCTATGAAACCTCCCGTCTTTTTTTCCTCACTCCTACTCTCAGAATTAGTTACTTCTTTCAGAGTGCCCTCAGCAATTGATCCTTCCTTGCAGCATCAATTTAATTATGCATAGTGCTAGTTTGCGGTTTCCTTGTCTCCTCCATTCCTCATTAAGTTTTAAATCATATGAAGACAGTGCATTTTTATGTGTCTCTGTAAGCCCTACAACACGTTGGACAGGCTTTTATACAAAAAACAGGGCTCAAAAATATTTTGAATAAATGAATTAGGGAGAGGTCCATGAACCCCCTCCACTCCCACCCTAATCCTCAGAGCATTACTTTAAAAATCTGACCATTTCAACCTTATTGAAGGCCGATCTTCATTCTGAGAATATAATTCTAACTCCTAAGCACGATGGTGACCTCAGGGCGCTGTGTGAACCTGCACCCACACCCCGTCCAACCACGTCCGTCCCTACACATCCTCTAAAAAAACTTCACTGCTTGTGGTGGCCTGCAAGGCCCGCTGTACTGATTCATGCCACAAGGCTTTTGCGTCAACTACTCCCTGTCTGGAATGTCTTTTCTATTTTCCTTGCCTGGCCCGATTCAGGGCAAGCTTTCCTATTTTGAATCCAGGCCCTGATTAAGAACTTTTAAAAAAGTACTAAGTAGCCGGGCGCGGTGGCTCAAGCCTGTAATCCCAGCACTTTGGGAGGCCGAGGCGGGTGGATCACGAGGTCGAGAGATCGAGACCATCCTGGTCAACATGGTGAAACCCCGTCTCTACTAAAAATGCAAAAAATTAGCTGGTCATGGTGGTGCGTGCCTGTAATCCCAGCTACTCAGGAGGCTGAGGCAGGAGAACTGCCTGAACCCAGGAGGCGGAGGTTGCAGTGAGCCGAGATCGCGCCATTGCACTCCAGCCTGGGCAACAAGAGGGAAACTCCGTCTCAAAAAAAAAAAAAAAGTACTAAGTACAGAAAAGTTTATATGGTGCTCCTCCATTTATGTGATGAAAAATGAAAACGACACTAAGGCGTAAAATGTAATTTTTAAAATGTCACAACTTTGCATGCATGCTAGATTTAGAATAACGTCTGTATTTACGGCGCTCTTGTCTCCGAACGCCCCTAACTCTGCAGACGCCCTCAACAGTGTCTATCGGATCACCCTCAGGTTGGGTCAAACGCTCCTCTTCCCGGCTTTTCAGGCACAACCCTATCTCAACATTCACCATCTTAAGAGGAGCAGCCTGCAGATTTGCCTCTCCCACCAGGGTGGGAGCTGCCGAAGCGGCGAGAACAGCGTTTCCGTGGATCGAGCGCCAGACCACCCGTCAGCGCCAGGCCTATTTTGAGTGGAAGTAAAAGCTCCTCCCTAGGCAGCCGGGGCAGTTCTTTAAAAAGCGGCTCCCAGGCCGGGCGCGGTGGCTCAAGCCTGTAATCCCAGCACTTTGGGAGGCTGAGGCGGGTGGATCACGAGGTCAAGAGGTCGAGACCATCCTGGTCAACATGGTGAAACCCCGTCTCTACTAAAGATACAAAAAAATTAGCTGGGCATGGTGGCACGTGCCTGTAATCCCAGCTACTCGGGAGGCTGAGGCAGGAGAATCGCCTGAACCCAGGAGGCGGAGGTTGCGGTGAGCCGAGATCGCGCCATTGCACTCCAGCCTGGGTAACAAGAGCGAAACTCCGTCTCAAAAAAAAAAAAAAAAAAGCGGCTCCCTTCCCACACAGGAAATACGGCTGGTTCGCCTCTTTCAGGGGTTGGTGCTGGGATAAGAGTGAAATATCAGAACACAAGGAGACTCTCTGAATTCCCGGGCCCAATAACGTGACCCAGCGCCGAGACTCCCAGGAACACCAGCCGAGTGAGCGCGGCGGAGGAAATTACTGACGCCGGAAGTCACGTGAGCGGCTCCCACTGAAATCACAATCTCGGCAGTCGACTATTCAGCCTTGCTGGCGCGTCTGGCGGGCTTCGCTGAGATCCGCTCTTTCGGCGCTCGACTCGCCCGTGCTGCTGCGCCGCCGAAGGAGGGGCAAAGCTCAAGATGGCGGACAAAACGCCAGGCGGCTCTCAGAAGGCCAGTTCAAAGGTAATTTCTGACAGGATTTCGTAAGTCAGCGGATCTACCTCTGTCGTCTGGGGCCTACAGACCCTTCTGGTCTGCAAGAGGCGATTGGGATTGGGGTCTGTGTTCTGGTCGCGACGGTAGGCCCGGGCGCCGCCGCACTGTGGTGCGCAGGCTGAGAGGCCTGGTGTCTCCCCTTAGTCCCAGCCTGGATTCCGCTCGAGACTGGCGTGCCCACGGGCTGGTGGCGTGAGCCCTTCGGCCCGCGCTCGGCATTGGAGTGAGTTCAGATTGAGGTCCGAAGCCGCGAAAACGCTCCCCTGTAGCTCAGCTTCCTGCGCCCCGAGGCCGCCAGACAGCGCCTGGGAGAGAGGCGGGAATCGATTCCCGGTGCTTACGTGCTGCTTTTTTCTGGGTTTGGGATCTCAGTCACTTCCGGCCTCCCTCAGTTTCCCTTCAAGGAATAAATAACCTCTAGGGTCGCCAGCTGTGAGGGGCAGAGACGCGGGGTGCGGAAGGTAGAGGCGGGCGCCGCTCGCCTTCGCAGGGCTGCATAGCCAAGGTGAACGTGCAGTCCACACGTGGTCTTCACCCGGAGGGGAAGGAAAAAGCACTTCTGAGGGTAGAGGGTTCGTGGACTCTGCCTTCACGTGGCGTGTTCCACCGAAAAGCTACGTACGATGAGTAAATGGCGTTTGTGTTCACAGGGAACCTTGTGCAGGTATTGTGAAACCCGTGAGCTGTGCTAGTTGAGCATGAGTAAGGTTGGGTTCTTTGTTGCCATCTTGGGCAGGACATTTAATCGTTTTTTGCTTTGGATTTTTGGTCTCGAACGTGTTAAAAGTAATGGGTACTGCCACGAGGTAGTGAAACTTCCCGATGCTGAGGCAAGAAGGTGTATAACCCTTCAAGGTTCTAAGGACTGTTGTGTCTTAGTGTGTGTGATTACAAATCGGCCATTAGAAAGTTACGTTTACGGTAGGAGAGACCCTTGCGTGTACGGTTCTGAGAAACAACTCGTTTTCTGTTTTCCACTTGCTTTCCCAGTTTCTAATAATCCGGCTGTTGATGCCAATTAGTGAATGATGTACACCAAAATAATTAGTTCCTAATTAGTAATGGTCTTACTAGATATCCTTTAGTTAGAGAAAAACTTGGTAAGGGGCCAGCTTTGGTTGCTTTACAAGGTACTGTTTACTCTGTGTCAGTTATTTCCCTCCCCAGTACATTTCCTCTTCTCCCTTCCTTTTGGGGAGAAGGGAATAGTGAGGTAACTCGCTCTACCAACTCTTCTTAATAGACTCATGACAGGAACAGACCCACTTACTGCTAGGGAGTTATTATTAAAGCTAGCTACATTCATAACAAGTCATGTATAAGCCTCACAATTTTTGTTTCTTCTCAAAGTAATATTTTAAGTATCCCGTACTTGAAGTTTTGGATACATCGAAAACGTTTCAGTGTCTGAAAACGTTTCAGGCTTCCTTCTAAAATAGTACTTCTCGTGATTGTGAGTGTATGGCTGTTCCCTATAAATAAATTCTTGGGTTATCTAGTAATCTTTTCTGTTTATATTGCCTTAGGTTATACTTTGTTCATGCTGTTAACAGATTTCTTACTGATGTCTGTAAAAGGAATTAGGGTATCTTAACTAACTTGGAGGCTGCATAATGTAGTGGGAAGATTATGAATTTTGTGAACAAAAAAGATTTGGGTTCAAATCCTGACTTGGTAATTATATTTGCGATAATATTAAGGCAGATGCTTAAACTGTGGTGCCTCCATTTCCTCATTTGTAATATGGATATAATTTTTTTTTTTACAAGGTTGATATAAGAATTAAATGAACTAATGTCTGTAAAGTACATAATAGATCTTAGTTGCTTTCCCCTCTCCTTTTTCGTTCTTAGAAGAAATAAAAAGTTCTTCGCTTTGAAAATGTCAGGATGGATCTTAATCCTGTGATTTGGGATCTGTCATAATGACTGCTCAGATAGCTGCTTTTTACTTCGGATGCGGAGTTTATTAGAGAAAGTGTAAGGACATTTTGGCTAATACCACAGTATTTGAAATTTCTAGACTTTGATCTCTGATTTGATTTCCCTTCCTCTGGAGAGAACAAATGAGTGGCTTGTATTTTACAGTACAGATGGAGTGAACAGATATTTCTGTTTCATGATTTGTCGTTTTCTTTGGTAGTTAAGTTACCATTAGTATGGATAGGGATACTTATTTCTAGACATTGGGAAAATGTTAATTTTAAAATGTACAATATGGCAAAATTATTAACATTTCTTAATTATAAAAAGATTAGATAACTTCTACAATTCTCCTAGTTTTTGTTTTTTGTTGTTTGTTGTTTTTGTTTTTTGAGACGGAATCTTACCCTGTCGCCCGGGCTGGAGTGCAATGGCACTGCAACCTCTGTCTCCTGGGTTCAAGCGATTCTTCTGCCTCAGCCTCCCTAGTAGCTGGGACTACAGGTGCCTGGCTAATTTTTGTGTTTTTAGAGAGACTGGGTTTCACAATGTTGGCCAGGTGGGTCTCGAACTCCTGACTCGTGATCCACCTGCCTTGTGCTCCCAAAGTGCTGGGATTACAGGCTTGAGCCACTGCACCTGGCCTCTATTTTTAAAATGATATTTTATGTATGGATATTTGAATGACTTACCTTGATTCATAATTTTCTTTACTGAAGAGACCCTTATGCCCTTTTAATTTCCTGTGTAATTTTGCTGTACATCGCATTTTAGAGCCCGGCAGAAGTAGACATTCAGTAAGTGTTTTAGAAATGAGCTAAAATTTTCCTATGCATTTGTTTGTCACTAGTCTAAAATATTGCTTAGTTGGGGAGGAGTGTTGATGTTATGCTGTAGCTTTGATTTTGAGAGGAGAGAGAGTGAGCCTTTAATTGTTTGCTTGTAAAATTGTTAAACATATTTCCTTAGAATTTAATTTATAAAAAATTATTTTTGAATGTCAGTTGTTTGCTTGCTCAGCAAAATTAGGATATGAAGAAAATTTCATATTTTCTTTCCTTATGCAATCTTCTGTGCTGGTAATACTGCTAATATAATGGAATTGTGTGCCCTACTGTTTCTCTCTGTGACTATGGCTTTTTTTTTCTTTTTTGCTGTATCGCCAAAAATTGAGTTAGAGAGGTGAATGGATAAAACAGAAAATACCACTGGCTTCCTTGGACATCCAGTGCTAAATTGCTTTGGAAACTGTTTTTATTGACTGCCTTTGCTGATTAACAAAAGTATCAATTCTAAGAAATAAGTAAAACGAGGATCTATTCAAGGCTTGTGAACCTCAGGTATTTATTACTGCCAGTTTTCATCTTTTGTGGTCCCTGAAAGTTTATGAAAAGGTCCACACGATATAACAAACCTTGAAAATTAGGCTTTTCAGTATTTGACAGTTTTAGTTTAAACCAAATCTTTATTATGGTATGGTTGTAACCTTATCTTAAAATGGAAGGTAGGTTTTTTTGGTAGAAGGTTTTGTTTTGGTCTGGAAGGTAGAACTGGACTCAACTTCCATTTTCTCGATTGATACTTTTTCAAAACTGGAGCCTGCAATACTGGTGCTGGAATATACCTGTTGATATGGTTTTAAAGATACATTTTTCTGGATTGAATTGATTGATTTCTGAAAGTCCAGTTTTTTTTTTTTTGAGATGGTGTTTTCTGAAAGTCCAGTTTTTGTTTTTGAGACAGAGTCTTGCTCTGTCACCAGGCTGGAGTGCCCTGGTGCAATCTTAACTCCCTGCAATCTCCACCACCCAGGTTCAAGCTATTCTCCTGCCTCAGCCGCCTGAGTAGCTGGGACTACAGGTGCATGCTGCCATGCCTGGCTGATTTTTTGTATTTGTAGTAGAGACAGGGTTTCACCTTGTTAGCCAGAATGGTCTCAATCTCCTGACCTGGTGATATACCCGCCTTGGCTTCCCAGAGTGCTAGGATTACAGGTGTGAGCCACCACTCCTGGCCCTGAAAGTCCAGTTTTTATTTTCACTTTTTGGTTTTTATTTCTGAAGCTTTGTTTTCCTTAGAAAGTAAACCTAAGAAAGATACCCATTTGCCTTACTGGATATCATTGAAAGAAGAGCTCATTTAGTATGCAAGTTGAAGACATCTACGCCTCTACCCCCCACCATTTTTTCCAAGGAGTATCATTTTTGGAATAAAAAGAAAAACTTACTACAAGATATTAAATCAAAAACAGTAATATTACAGACTATTTGTCTCTTATTCTAGTATAGATAGTTTTAATATTTTATTGTACATCTGCCATGTGCTGGATATTTTGTTGAAATAACATTTTTGAAAGCAAGATACGTTTGTCAGTAGCACTTGAGGCATCTAGATGTTAGACATCTATTCCCTGATTTTAAATTTTTTCATAAGGCCCTTTCTCAGTTTAGATAAACTATAGGTTGTTCAAAGTGTATTTAACAACTTTGCATATAGTATTCGTAGTGTTTTGAATAAGTTAAAAAATCATCTTAGATTTGTTATTTAACTTTATTTACATAGTGCTTATATTAATGATTTTGTAAAGTTTTTTTTTTTTTTTGAAAGATGGATACCTTGATTTGACTTGGACAGTGGTATTAAGCTAGGTAGCTGTTGTTAATGGAAACTGTGATATGTTGACAGTGTGGAGTGTTATTTTGTTTGGTGGTAGATACTTTTTCTGACAAGTCAACTATATTGAGACTGTGTCACTTGCCAGATCTTTTGCTTGATGTTGAATTAGAAAATGTTAAATCAGAATGTACTCATTTTTGAGGAGCGTGCTGTCTAGTTGAAAGACAATACGGTATGCTTCCTGTGAGAGAGATTGTTAAACTTGTGGAGATGAAAGTTGCTGCTCTTGAGTGGGAGAGAAGAAACCTATGGGAGATTAGGAGACAGATATGAGAATGGAGAGCTTACTAGGTGGAAATGGTGGTGCTGGAGGAATGTTGCTGTGGATAGCTTGCTAATTTGGAGACTTAGATATGGGGCTTTCACTTGGAGTAAAGTTGGAGCAGCCAGAAGAAAATCAGTTTTGTTCTCAGCCAGCAAGCTATAGGGCCACAGGTAGTGTGGTTCTCTTCACTTTCATCCCCTTAGCAGCCATCATAATGATCTTTCTTCCTTTTGGATTTTCTTGCTGTCCCTCCCCACATTTGTACTGTCTGCTTTCTCTGCCCTAAAATAAATTTCTTTTGGGTGTGTTACTTTATTGCCTCAAACTTCCCTTAGTCTGCCTTTTCATTTCTTGCTTTTGTGTCTTTTTTCTTTTCCTGCTTTGCTCTCCTCTCCTCTCCTTTTTCCTTTCCTTTCTCCCCAGAGATGGGAGTTATTGCTATGTTGTCCAGGCTGGTCTTGAACTCCTGGCCTCAAGCAATCATCCCATCTCAGTCTCCCGAATAGCTGAGATTACAGATGTGAGCTACTACATTCAGCTGCTTTTGGACCTTTGATTTGGATAAGGAGTTGTGCCGTAGTCTTCAGGAGATCTTTAAGCATCGTTGGTTTGTGTTCTTCAGTTAAAAAGCCAAACTCAAGACAAATGTATAGTTCAGTTCCAGGTTAAGGAGAGGGAGAGGCTCAGCTTCTGAAATAGTGCTGTATTTACTGTTTACCTTGACTGTTAGCTTTAGAAATTGATTATTCTTTTAAAAAGTGTGTTAACTACTGTTTGAACCGTTTTTAAGCCTTAAAGAGTTCTGTGCTGAATGCTATGTAGCTATAGGTGTGTATCAGTGGAAAATGGTTTGCGGTAAATGTGGTTAGTGACATCTTAGGCTAATTGAAGTCAGCTGGTGCATTGTCCTTCCCCATGCTATTATTACTCAATTTGCAAATTTATCAAATTGTGTTATTTTGAAAGCTGATGTATTTCCCTTTGGAATTTTGAGCTATTGAATGAAATTGTATTAAGTATGTAAAGAAATTTGAGTATCATCGACATTATCTTAACATTGAATTTTCCCACCCAGTAATGAGTCTTTTGAAAAGGTGACTTGAGCAGCTGAATTTTTCCTAAACTTTTTGTTTTCTTCATAAGGGTTATATACATTTCTTAAATTGGTTTCTAGATGTTTTATATTTTTTTGTTGCTTTTATGATTAGGATGTTTTTGTTACCTAGCAAGTTAATATTGGTATATTAGAAGGCAGTCGATTTTTTTTTCAGTCCGTCAGCTTCTTGACTGAACTTGTTTTTCTTTTGTAACAGTATTTATTATTTTGGATTTTTGAATTTCTAGATCTTTGTAAATTGATGCATTTCAAGGTATGTTTCAGTGTGTTTCATAGTTAATAAATACTAAACATTTTCTTCTTTCATACCATCTTGACTTTTAAGAAAGATTAGCTGCAAGAAGAAAATGAGGGTGGACGCAAAAGGTGGGGACAGAAAAACCATGGACAGGAAGAATGAGTTGGGGCTGGGTGTGGTGACTCACACCTGTAATCCTAGCACTTTCAGAGGTTGAGGTGGGTAGATCAACCTGAGGTCAGGGGTTCGAGACCAGCCTGACCAACATGATGAAACCCTGTCTCTACTAAAAATACAAAAATTAGCCTGGTGTGGTGGCACTTTCCTATAATCCCAGCTACTCAGGAGGCTGAGGAAGGAGAATCATGGAACCAGGGAGGTGGAGGCTGCAGTGAGCTGAGATCTCGCCACGGTGACAGAGTGAGACTGTCTCAAAAAACAAAAACAAAAAAAAAGTAAGAATGAGATGGGAGGTGTCCCAGTGCGTGGTTGTCCTGGGCTGTTTTTTGCCTACGCTGATGCTCAATACAGTGGAGTTCAGAGGAGTAAATTGATTCAGTGTAAAAATCTTACCAGCTATTCTTAGCCTTTTGTTTGGACAGTGTAAATAAAACAATACTGTATGGATCTATATTAATCTTCCTGATTTGCTCTGTTTTAAGTAACATATGAATCTTCAATTTTCTGTTAAATTAATATTTTATCTTATACTTTATATGACATCTGGAACTGGGAGTTGGGGTCAAGTGAGATATTTGTGATCTCAAAATTCTTGATTTCATTTGAGCACTTCACACTTAAATATATAAATAGAAACAAGTAAAATCTCACTGCCCTATACCTTCAAAAATAAAGCTCAATGACAGTTACATTTTGGCTCTCCAAGTAAAAATTACAGAAAGATAGCATACATTATTTAATTAATAGCCTTGCAGCTTGTTGTCTTTGTCTTTACATGCATAGTGAAAACAAATTATTGCATACCATGTGTAATCTGATATGTAGATCAATTATTAAAAGTTGAAATTTTAACAGTTGACATTGCCGGAACATATAATATGAACTCTTTCTCATCCCACCAGGCAGTCTGTGACATGCTGTAGAATCATCTCCCTTAAAACTAGTTGTAAATGGTGCCTTATTGGTGATTCCATAATGTTTTGTTGAACTTTCTGCAAAATTTGTACCCTTTAATAGCAAGGATTTATATGTGGATTTCTTTATGTGGCTTTGGGTGGTTAGAGAAAGGAAGAGAGTTCTTATGCTATGAATCAAGAAGTTGCTGGCAGTGCAATGGCAGTAAACAGTGCATCTGTGATTAGGAAGAGCTTTTCCATAAAACTTCTGTAATAAAAATGGTGGTTAGATTTCCAGTGTATACTATGAAGAGGTAGTTGTGCCTCATATATATCCCACTGGCGTTTATATCATATTTTTGGAAATATGAAGGCTGAATTTTAAAGAAATTACTTACACATTTACTTAATATCACAATCTTTTCCTAAGTCAGAGACTGCCTTTGCTCAGTTTTATTAGCTGAGGAGAAATTGCTGGAAGTTCGGAGAGATTAAGTTTGTAAAACATCAGAGACATAGTTTCTTAGTATAAGATATTTTGAAAATACTGACTTTTATTTTTAATGCTTGTAGACGAGATCGTCAGATGTTCATTCATCTGGATCTTCAGATGCACACGTGAGTATAAAAGGCAATCTTTCTCTTTTTTCCCTTTAAAATTTAATTTATCCTCATATGTAACCCCACATCAATGATTTTACTTGACAAATAAGTACAATTATATTGTATGTGCTTTTTTTCTTTTACTGTTTTTTCTAGGCACCTTCACTTTTTGTGTGTTCTACTTGTGTGAGTTAGCCCTCTCAAGCCATGTTAGAAAGTTAGTATGTATGTTTTCTTATTTTTATTACGTAAAAATCTGTACACATGTAAGTATGTGTACTTACATATTGACTATGGGATTGCATTATACACACGCTTTTCTCACTGTGTAGAATGTGTTGGAAATCCCTGTAGGTAAACTGTTATAACTCTAAGCTGTTCTTTTTTAAGGCATCATAATGTTCTGTGGTGGGGAGGTGCAGTTGTTAAGAAATAACAAATAGGCATATATTTTGTGTTTAAAGCTTTTGGATAACATTTTGGATAGGTAATACTGCAAAAGTATTTCTTTATATATGTTATTACAGCATTGTTCAAAGTGTAGTCTCAAGACCCCAGGAGTCACTGAGAATCTATGAGAAGGGTCTGTGAATTAAAAACTAATTTTTGTAATAATACTAAGGCATTATTTATGCCTTTTTCACTGTTTTGGCATTTGCAGGAATGCAAATGTAGCTGGAGCTGCAAAAGCATTTGGTGGGTAAATTGTTGGCACTTGAGCACAAATCAAGGCAGTGACACCAGAATATACTTGTCATTATATTCTTTTCCACCAGACAGAGTAATTTCACTTAAGAGACTAGCATAATTAGAAATAATTTTTACTTCTTGGTGAAGCTATAAAAATTACTATTGTTGTACTGTTTTACTACATCAAGCAGTAAAAATTATTACTATTGTCTTGATCTTTTCTATAGTTTGTCTTAATATTCTGTGAGATAAAATAAGAAGTATGTATAACACTTAGCTTACCAAAATGTGATGTCTGAGTTGAGAAATGAAGCTACCTCCTTTTTTCATGAAACACCATTTTTACTTGGGAATGACTGACAGGTGAACTATGGTTAATCAGACTTGGGTATTTTGGCAGACATTTTCTTGAAAATGAAGGTAATGAACCTGTTACTTCAAGGAAAACAACTATTACCAACATAAAATTCAAGTTTGTGAGTTAGAGTTATTGAAAACTTCCCCTGTTCTTAAGAACTTTTCTAATGAAATCAATGGTGATATTAAGGGATGTGATATTTTGATAATGTACAATGAAATTTGTCAATATCCAAAATAGCTTATTTCTGGTTTTCAGTGCTATATATGTATATATGTGTGGTTTGTTTTTTCTCTTATTTTACTTTTCCTGAAGATGGATGCATCTGGACCCTCAGATAGTGATATGCCAAGTCGGACACGACCTAAGAGCCCAAGAAAACATAATTATAGGAATGAAAGTGCCCGTGAAAGCCTTTGTGATTCTCCTCACCAGAATCTCTCAAGAGTGAGTATAGATAAGGTAAAGATAAGAAAGGATAGTTAATGATTTTAATTTGTCCTTGATTTAATTTAGTAGTTGAATATCTTGGTTTTGTATGTGTTTCGTCTTATTCCATTTGAAAATAGCATTTTTTTTTTTCTTTTTGTATTTGAAATTACAGTAAACCCAAGTTTATTTAGGGAAATCGTTTTAGTTCAAATGTGAGATGTATTTCATTTTAAGAGTTTTAAATTTTATTCAAAAAACAAAATAGTGTTTGGATTTAAAATGGTTAATTGTCAACTTTATCTTTCCCCACTTAAACATTTGCTGAACCAAGTGCCAGTTACCAGTTACTGGAAATGCACAGATCACTGAAACTATTCTTGTTCCCAGAGGGCTTATAGTCTCACTTTGGGTAGCAAACAGGAGCAGGTGCTATTCACTCTGATAAGTGCAGTTACCAGGGCAATACAGGAACACAGAGAAGGAGCTTCTTGTAGATCTGCAAAGTGCTCTCAGACGCTTAGACTTTTGTTCTATGTCAAGTAATTTTTTTTGTGTGGTTAAATTTGTGACATATGATAACACAGTCATCACCAGCCAATATTAACCACTGATAAATTATTTTTCTTGTTTAGTATTTCTAGGCATAAATATATTTTTACTTTGCCTAGATTTATTTTACAAGAACCAGTTTTAAAATATCCTGTTTTTAGTTATAATATTTTTCATTTCTGCAAAAATTCTGTAAACTTTTTAATGATTGCTTTTATTGTTTATTTGAATAAATACTCCATAGTTTCCCCATTCTGCATCTCCCAAGGGCAAGCCTATTTAATGACCAGGGAGTTAATTAATAAAGTCTTAATTTTATAATTGGTTAACTTCTCATTTTAGTAGGAGAGAGAGAAACCTTTAGATTTCAGTAAGGTTTTATTTAATAAACATATCCTACCTTTTAAGTTTATAAATCAAATGAGTAACTGATTGAACGAAAAGGTCTACAGACAATGTATTCAGGCTGTATTTCAGAAGAAAGTTGCTTCTAAGTTATATGAATGAAGAGTTCACTAAAATGTTGTTTTATATTTGAAATTAGTTAATATATAGTTTTACTTGAGCTGAAACTTAAAATATTGTAGGTGACACTTTAATCCCAGCAAAGAATGAAATTATGTTCATAAATGTCAGTATTATTGATGAAGAATGAGGTAATTTACCAAATTATAAAGAAGAAGTGATTTACATATGTGAAATGAGGGTTGTAGATGGTAAATTCCTGCCACTGGACCATGGAAATGTATGCCTCCCTTTGCCTACTTGAGGATCTTTATTCTATCATTGCAACTTTTCCCCAGAAACATCTGTACTTTCCCTCCTCAAATGCCTTTATTCTTGTCCTAAGCATGAGTGTCTCTTTTATTTTTACCTTTTTATAAACATGAACTTTTGCATGTTTTTGACCTTGAGCTATTAAATGAAGACATTTCTTTGATGACTACTTAACATCAGAGTCAAGCAAGATAGGCACCTGATGTGTAGAGTATCCCCAGCTTTTCTTCACAATGAAATTTTTAAAAAATGCAGTCTATTCTGAAGACTGAGTTATCAGGTGATATGTATTAAAGTTTTAGATAGCGTTAAGGATGTATATATAAGGGTATGCTTTTTATTTCTTAGCCTCTTCTGGAAAACAAACTTAAAGCATTCAGTATTGGAAAAATGAGTACAGCTAAGCGAACTTTAAGTAAAAAGGAACAGGAAGAATTAAAGAAAAAGGTAAGGTTGAAAATGTATTTTGAATTATCCTTGGAAATGAATGTGTCTAAGGGGTTACAGTAGTAAGTGTGTTAGAGGACTGTTTCCCAAAGATTCTTAACATCTAGGATAGTCTCAGCTTCACTTCTGAGTCAAATCTGTAATACAAGGTATATTCCTAGGAATCCAGCTTCTTGTTCTTTCACCCGGTTTCTTTTTTCTTTGTTATAGTTTTGGCTATTTTCTAATCTATTCTTTTTGTGTAAGTAAAGGGGGTGTGTGTGTGTGTGTGTGTGTGTGTGTGTGTGTGTGTGTACACACATTGTATCCATTCCCCTTAGATTAATGATAGCATGCTTTATAGAGTACACTTTTTTCCAACTTGCTTTTTTAACTTAACATTATATATCAGAAATATTTCACAAGTATATAGAAATACTCCTTATTCTTCTATGGCTGTGTAGATATGTAGTCATTTATTCAACTAAAATTCTATTGAAGGCATTTATGATTTGTTCTTTTGCCATTACAAATCATGCTGTTATGGATAATGTTATGCGTATGTTTGTTTTTTTTGCTAGTGTTATCTTTGGAACATATTCTTATAGGTGAGATTTGGGGGTATATACTTATAAATGAGATTACTGGGTTGAATGGTAAATGCATAAATGTAGTTTTTCTATATTTGTCATTGTCAAAATGTTCTCTGTAGGGGCAGGAACATTTTGCATTCCTGTCAGCAATGTATGAATGAATGTTTCCCCATAGCACTGCCAACAGTGGAGTTTCACCAATCTCCTACATGAAAAATGGTATCTTAGTGTAGTTTTAAATTTGCATTTCTCTCATTATGAGTAAAGTTTAACAGTTTTTCTTGTGTTTGTTTCTGTGAACTGTCTGCTCACATCTAAACCATTTTTTTCTGTAAGTTATATTAACAGTTTATTATGCATGGTGCAATTTTTTTTCTCACTTTGTTGATTGTTTTTTATTTTGCTGCTGTTGTTTTTCTTCATGCAAAAACTATTGTTGTACAGTCAGATTTATCAGTCTCCCTATGATTTCTGGTTTTTCAGTTAAATTTTTTCCACTACAAGCTTATAAAAGAATTTCCTCATGTTTTCCTCTAGTACTGTATGGTTTCATTTTTTAGGAATATTAAATTATTTTGTAGTTTATTCTGGTATGTGGTGTGCAGAATACATTCATTTTTGTCTTTTTTCAGATAATTATTCAGTTATCCCATTATCATTTATTGAAAAGTTTATTTCCCATTCATTTGAGATGCTGCTTTTATTGAACACTAAATTTCCACATGCTATTCGATTTTATTCTGTATTTTCTGTTAATGTTCCATTGGCCCTTCTGTTCATATATGTTTTGGGGACATTTAGAATAATTGAAAATATCAAGATTCTTCTTAGCTTTCTTTTCTTTAATGCCACTTGTCAGTAGATATTGCTGCTTCAACTTCTAATACTCATGTTTTTGGTGATTTGAAAAATATTTATATTCACTGAATTAAATCATCATGCCTTGGAAACTTGGTAAACATTACTAGCATAATATGTTCTCATATAGTCAGTTGTCATACAATTTGATGCTTGAGTTGTTTCTAGACACATTTACTAATTAGCCTGTAGTTACGGGTTCTTTTCTGGTTCTGCAAATTGCCAGTAGATCATACAAAGGCTTCGTAGTGGGTCCTTTAAAAAAAAATAAAAACAAACAAATTGGCAGTAGAGGAGCAAAGCCTCTCTTAAATTTCATTAATATTTAGTATCTGCTAAAGATTAGATGTTATTACATGTTAGGACTGCTGGACCTGGGAAGGGAGGGTTTTCATCCATATTATTCCTTGATGAATTTAACCCTATGTACATTAACAATTTTTGTATTGTGATATTAATATTTTCATGTGTATTTAGGAGGATGAAAAGGCAGCTGCTGAGATTTATGAGGAATTTCTTGCTGCTTTTGAAGGAAGTGATGGTAATAAAGTGAAAACATTTGTGCGAGGGGGTGTCGTTAATGCAGCTAAAGGTAAGTTTATAAAATACAACTACTAATAAAGTATAACTGTTACAGTTTTTGAGCAAACCCCATTGAATAACTGCAGGTAGATAATTGTGGAAAGAAATACGGTTGCTTTTGAATTTTACATTTTCTATCAGCACCCTCTAGTGGTTATATTAATTAGCAAGATAAATGGCCAAGTGTCAGCTAATGAGATACTGAAGCCAGATAGCTTATAAACATGTTTAGTTTCTTTCAAGTTTTTTTTTTTTTTTTTTTTTTTTTTTTTTTTTTTTGAGACGGAGTTTCGCTCTTGTTACCCAGGCTGGAGTGCAATGGCGCGATCTCGGCTCATCACAACCTCTGCCTCCTGGGCTCAGGCAATTCTCCTGCCTCAGCCTCCTGAGTAGCTGGGATTACAGGCACGCGCCACCATGCCCAGCTAGTTTTTTGTATTTTTAGTAGAGACGGGGTTTCACCATGTTGACCAGGATGGTCTCGATCTCTCGACCTCGTGATCCACCCGCCTCGGCCTCCCAAAGTGCTGGGATTACAGGCTTGAGCCACCGCGCCCGGCCGTTTCTTTCAAGTTTTAAGACAGCAGAGCACTAGTCAGAAGTTGTAATATGTGTCATCGTTTTGTTACAAAATGATTAAATTAGTATGATTGAGGTGATATTTGAATTTAATTTCATGTTTGTCAATAGTGATACATCTTAATCCTAAAAGCATTTTACTAATTTTTACTTGTTTTTTTTTTTTTTTTTTTTTTTTTTTTTGAGACGGAGTTTCCCTCTTGTTACCCAGGCTGGAGTGCAATGGTGCGATCTCGGCTCACCGCAACCTCCGCCTCCTGGGTTCAGGCAATTCTCCTGCCTCAGCCTCCTGAGTAGCTGGGATTACAGGCACGCGCCACCATGCCCAACTAATGTTTTGTATTTTTAGCAGAGACGGGGTTTCACCATGTTGACCAGGTTGGTCTCGATCTCTCGACCTTGTGATCCACCTGCCTCGGCCTCCCAAAGTGCTGGGATTACAGGCTTGAGCCACCGCGCCCGGCCCTAATTTTTACTTGTTTTCAAATAAAAAAGTAAAAAGTGAATGTGAAATTAATTTTGAAACCTAGTATTTTAAATTTCAGAAGAACATGAAACAGATGAAAAAAGAGGTAAAATCTATAAGCCATCTTCAAGATTTGCAGATCAAAAAAATCCTCCAAATCAGTCTTCCAATGAAAGACCACCATCTCTTCTTGTGATAGAAACCAAAAAACCTGTAAGTCATACTCAAGTAATTGACCATTTATGTTCAGAGATGACACTGCCAATGATACTTCCATTATAAGCAGGACTTTGGCTTTTTGTTTTTCATTTTTGGTTGGGTTGGGGGTCATAGATGTTAAGTTTTGATGCTTTCTAGCCCAGTAATTTACTTAGGTGAGACATAATGAATTAGGATACATAGATGATATTCTTTATGTTCTTTGAGCAGGGAAAATTTGCTATTTATGCTCGTAATATATTGCAAGTCAAAACTTGACTGTATTTTGGGTATAAATTTAAAGCTATGGGGTTGTCTTAAGCAATTCTGAACTGAGGTATTTAAATTATTGGTACGTGTAGTGTATGTTTCCCAGAACATTTTTGGAACCTTCTGGGAATTACTGTCAGAATTAATGACACTTAAAATATTTTCAGTGTTAGAAAAATGTTTTTTCTTTGAGGGGTTAGTTTTCGTGGGAGATGGTAGATAGATGTGGGTCTGTCATTTGGAGCCAAACGTGATGAATAAATACTGCATTGAATAGTAAGACTGCTTTTTCTTGTGTGACTTAAAAAATAGCTCTAAAAGCAATGAAAAAGTCAGCTTTATTGATATATAATTCATATACAGTATTACAATTCACCTTTTTTTTTTTTTTTTTTTTTTTTTTTTTTTTTTGTGGAGACAGTCTCACTCTGTCACTCAGGCTGGAGTGCAGTGGTGTGATTATGACTCCTGTAGCCTCAACCTCCTAGGCTCAGGTGGTCTTCTCACCTCAGCCTCCTGAGGACCTGGGACTACAGGCCATGTAGTCCCATGCCCAGCTAAGTTTTTGGTATTTTTTGTGGAGATTGGGTTTCACCATTTTGCCAAAACTGGTCTTGAACTCCTGGGCTCAAGCGATCTGCCCACCTTCGCCTTCCAAAGTGCTGGGATTACAAGTGCCTGGCCAAAATTTACCCTTTTAAAGTATACAATTGACTAGGCGCAGTGACTCACACCTGTAATCCTAGCACTTTGGAAAGCTGAGAGTAGCGGATGGCTTGAGCACAGGAATTTGAGACCAGCCTGGGCAACATAGCAAGACTCCATTTTTACGAAAAGTAAAAAAAAAAAAAAAAAAAAAAAAAATTTAAATAAAGTATACTATTAAGTGGTTTTTAAGTATATTAAAAATTGTGCAACTATCAACACTCCCAGTTTCAGAAAATTTTTAGCACCCCAAAAAGAAATCTCTACCCATTATCAGTCATTCCCATTTTTTTTTTTCTGTTGACTTCAGTCCCTGACAACCTACTAATCTACTTTCTGTCTCTTGATTTGCCTATTCTGGACATTTTGTATGGATGGCATCACACAACATGTGGTCCTTTGTATCTGGCTTCATTACTTAGCATAATGTTTCATGGTTCATCTTTGTGGCGTGTGTCGGTACTTCATTCTTTTTTGTGGTGGAATAATATTCTATTTTATGGACATACCATATAGTGTTTATCCATTCATTACTTAATAGATGGATATTTGGATTGTTTCCATTTTTCTACTATTAGAACTAATGCTGCTGTAAACTTTCATGTATGGGCTTTTTTTGTGTGAACTTACGTTTTCAGTTGCCTTGGGGAGAGGGAGAGAGAGAGAGAGATACACGCACACACACACACACACACACACACACTCTCTCTCTCTCTCTCTCTCTCTCCCCCCCCCCCCCCCATCTCTCTCTGAGAAGCGGAATTGCTGGGTCACATGGTAACTGTGTTTAACCTTTTGAGAAACTGCCAGTTTTCCAAAGTGGTTGTACCGCTTTACAGTCCCACCAGTAATGTATGAGGGTTCCAGTTTTCTCATGTCATACACTAACACTTTGAGACAATGACCAACAAGGTGGAACCCTGTCTCTACTAAAAATATAAAATTAGCCGGGTGTGGTGGTGCATGCCTGTAATCCCAGCTACTCCGGATGCTGAGGCAGGAGAATTGCTTGTACCTGGGAGGCAGAGGTTGCAGTGGGCTGAGATCGTGCCATTGCACTCCAGCCAGGGCAACAAGAGTGAAACCTCATTTAAAAAAAAAAAAAAACGCCGAGTGCAGTGGCTCACGCCTGTAATCCCAGCACTTTGGGAGGCCAAGACAGGCGGGTCACCTGAGGTCGGGAGTTTGAGACCAGCCTGACCAACATGGAGAAACCCCATCTCTACTAAAAATACAAAATTAGCTGGGCATAGTGGCGCCTGCCTGTAATCCCTGCTACTCGGGAGACTGAGGCAGGAGACTTCGCTTAAACCTGGGAGGCTGATGTTGCGGTGAGCTGAGATTGCACTATTGTGCTCCAGCCTGGGCAACGAGAGTGAAACTCTGTTTCAAAAAAAAAACCAAAAAAAAAAAAAAAAAACCCAAAAACTTTTGTTTTAAAAGTTTGTTTTAGTCATTTTAGTGGGTGTAAAATTGTACTTCATTGTGGTTTTGATTTGCGCTTACTTGATATTGAGCATCTTTTCATGTGTTTATTGCCCATTTATAATCTTTTGGAGAAATGTCTATTCAAATACTTGGCCCGCTTTTTAATTGGGTTATTTGTATTTTTGTTGTTGAGCTGTAAGAATATTTTACATTTTCTTGAGTCAAGGTTTTTATCAGCTGTGTGATTTGCAAATGTTTTCTGTTCTCTGGGTTGTCTTTGCACTTTCTTGACGTTGTGGAGCATGGAGGTTTTAAACTTCAGTGGAGTCCAATTTTATCAGTTTTTTTTCTTTCTTTTGTTACTTATGCTTTTTGTGTCATAGCTAAGAAACGGTCACAAAAGTCAGAGTTATGAAGATTCATTCCTTTGTTTTTCTCCGAAAAGTTTCATAGTTTTAGCTCCTACATTTAGATCCATGAACCATTTCGAGTTAGTTTCGGAACATTTAGTAGATGCTATAAAGTAGAAGTCCAACTTCATTTTTCTACATATGAGTATTCAGTTGTCCAGGCACCATTTGTTGAAAAGATTATTCTTCCCTATTAAATTATGTTGGCACTTCTGAAAGAAGGATTCCAGAGCAGCTTAAGAAGCAGTTTTAAATGAGGATTCCAAAGATTTTACTTACTGTTCCACTAATTGATGTCCTCCGAAGGTCATTGTTTTGAAGAGTGTATTTTTGGCAGTTATTTTCCGTGGCAGTTCAGTTACCACTTGTTCATTAATTTCCCTGACTGGTTGTCATTTTAAGTGTTTAATTGTGTTAATAATTTAATTGTTTGCTATTTTGGAGAAAGGGAAAGGGAAGTTCAGTCATAACAAAAGCATTCTTTCTTTTTAATTTAAATAATTAGAACATAAAATTTGTACTGAAATGATATAAAAAGGCTCTTATTGAATCATTAGTTTTGCTTAACCTTTTGTTTGAAGTATAACTTCTCGTATCCTTTATAGCCACTTAAAAAAGGAGAGAAAGAAAAGAAAAAAAGCAATTTGGAACTCTTCAAAGAAGAATTAAAGCAGTAAGTTTTATAGTGTGGAGAATAATGATCGATAGGTATATTGAGCTGATACATAAACAGATGCAAGTATAAAGAATATACTGTACCAGTTATTGTTAGCCAATTTTCTATGAGATTGTTTTAGATATTATGATGATATTTTGTGGGGTATCTTTGGAAATAAATTAGCATTTAATCCAGCACCTGGGTTGTTTGCATTATGAAGATTCAGTTCAGCTGATGTATTTACTGTGCAGAGTCCTGTTTGCAGTGGCAACAGTATACTCACTAGGATGGGAGTGAGGGTCAGTAAGACTTAGCAAGAAACAAATTGAGTGGTTTTAATGTTGAATTTCCGCCTCACCTTTAAAGTAGGCTTTGTATTCCATTGGTAGTGTGATATATCAGAAATTTGTTCATGGTTGTAGTATAGCTGAGGGACTCTCTAATCTTAGTTATCAGTACCAGTATTTAGTTATATATATTTCTAGTTATTTGGTGATAGTGATTTGATAAGTGCTATTCTTAAATGTGAATGAATAAATTTTGGCTCATTTTAAGTGATTATAAATATTTTCAACAGAATTCAAGAAGAGCGTGATGAGAGACATAAAACAAAAGGCAGATTAAGTCGATTTGAACCTCCTCAATCAGATTCTGATGGTCAGCGTCGTTCTAGTAAGTGACATTTATTTTTAATGTGTATGTTTTTGATTAATTACAGTAGGTCCCACCTTATCCATGAGGGGGTTACATTCCAAGGCCCATCAGTGGATACCTGAAACCATGGATATATACTATCCTTTCTCCTACATGTTTATAGCTGTGGTAAAGTTTAATTTGTAAATTAGGCACAGTAAGAGATTAAGTAATAGAACAATAAGTAATAGAACAATTATAACAGTATATTGAAATAAAATCCCAGCACTTCAGGAGGCCGAGGTGGGCAGATTACCTAAGGTCAGGAGTTTGAGACCACCCTGGCCAACATGGTGAAACCCGGTCTCTACTAAAAATACAAAATTAGTCGGGCGTGGTGGTACATGCCTATAATCCCAGCTACTTGGGAGGCTGAGGCAGAAGAATTGCTTGAACCTAGGAGGCGGAGGTTGCAGTGGGCAGAGATCATGCCATTGTACTCCATCCTGGGCTATAGATCGAGAGTCTGTCTCAAAAAAAAAAAAAAAAAAGTTATGTGAATGTGGTCTTTTTGTCTCTCAGAAATATATTACTGTACCTTGAGTAACAAACTGGGAAAAACAGACGAGGATAAGAGGGGACTACTGTATTCTAAAAACTAGTAATTGTTTTTTTTCCTCCCTTTTAAGTGGACGCGCCTTCAAGGAGAAATAGATCATCTGGTGGTAATACAGTTTTTTGCTCTTTTTATTGATAAATTGTCCCAACTTTATATTTTGCAGGTTATAATTATTTTTTTCTTTATTTCCCCAGTTCTTGATGATTACGCACCTGGCTCACATGATGTAGGAGATCCAAGCACTACTAATTTATACCTTGGAAACATTAATCCACAGGTAATATTAAGTAAGATGAATGTTGATACACTTTATGCATTTGGAAGAAAACTACTTTGTCAGTCAAACAAATAAAATCAAGATTCTATAGCTGGCAAATCTGATGGAATTGGATAGTCTTTAGAGTTGTCTTGTAAACCTGAGACTTACTGGTATGGCCCAGATTGTCTTGCCACATATTCTTGTTTCCTCTTTTGGTAACGAGATTGAACTCTGAATTTGCAGTGTTTTACTAGGTGCTGATTTTATTATTAAATAGGGTATGACCAATGATGAATAATATTATTTTGAGACTATCCACTTCTGAGGCATACTTGTTTCCTTGTGGAATCCCTTTTTCATTCTCATAGTAGGAAACTATTATAATAGATAAAATTTTATATTTTAATTCTTTTCCTTCATTGATGCTGTTGATTATGTTAATGGAGAATGTAGTAGTGGTAATACATGATAGGCTGTTAATAAAAATTATATTTTGCATTTTTGCTGTTTGTTTTCTCAGCATATGGGTAGTTGAGTGTTAGAAGGAGAACAAATGATTAGATCCTCCTTTTTCTTCGTTGTCAGTAAATATTTCCTCCTTAACGTAAGTGTACTAACCATGCCTGCTTGAAAAATGTTACTAAGTGCCTAAATAAACCATTACTATAAAACATCTTACTTAGATCCAGGACCTTGCAACAAAGGAAGATGGGGAGTAAAAGTGATTTTGATTTCTCCATCCACTGAGATGCTCCACCCTGGCATTGTAAATAAATAAACCAGAATATTTCTAGTGTGAAATGGTTTATGAATGCCCCACACGGGATTTTACTTGTGTAGAGTTCCTGGTACTTGAATGGAAAATTGTAGCATGTTGCTATGTTGCTTTTAGTTTTGTAAAAACTACTTTGTTTTCTGAAAATAATTTTTTCTTTTCCCTTTTTTACATAATAAAAATATTTTACCCCGTTTTAATAGATGAATGAAGAAATGCTGTGCCAAGAATTTGGAAGATTTGGACCATTAGCCAGTGTGAAAATTATGTGGCCTAGAACTGATGAAGAAAGAGCCAGAGAGAGAAATTGTGGCTTTGTGGCCTTTATGAATAGAAGAGATGCTGAAAGAGCTTTAAAAAATTTGAATGGTAAGAATGTTTTTATGAACCATTTATACAATTCAGGTATTTCTTTGGTTTGGAAATGTATTTAGAAAAACTAGGAAGGAATGGACCTGAAATGGAGGGGTTAAAATTAATATTATTTCAACTTACCAGAAAGATTTTATTTGGAAACTTTTGAGAGTTAACAAAGTGACCTTTCATTTCTTTCTTATAGGAAAAATGATTATGTCTTTTGAAATGAAGTTAGGTTGGGGTAAAGCTGTACCTATTCCTCCACATCCAATATACATTCCGCCTTCTATGATGGAACATACGCTTCCCCCACCTCCATCCGGACTGCCTTTTAATGCGCAGCCTAGAGAGCGGTTAAAAAACCCTAATGCTCCTATGTTACCACCACCTAAAAACAAAGAGGATTTTGAGAAGGTAATTTAAAAAATGGACATAAGCCTGAATCTAATTTGTAAATACTAAAGCGTGGTAGTATTTCTTTTCAACAATTTTATAGAAAAAGTGTGTGTAATTCTTTTATGGCAACTTTTAAAGAAATAAGTAGATGTGTTCCCTGCCTTAGCCCATGGAAACCCTATATTTGAAATACTGGGTCATATTTTATTTGTGGCTACCATTCCTTTTTTGACCACTTGTTAAGTTTTTTTTCCTTTGTCCAGTGTTGTATCCAGATTTGCTTAAGCGTAGTATCTAAATTTACTTTGTTCTGAGTAAGTGATACTTTATATTTGGTTAAGTGACATTTCAATTAGAAAGACTTCCTAAGTAGTTATTGTTTGGATGGCAGCTAGGTCTGAGGTATTAGAATATTTTTGAAGATTTATGTGGTTTTTAAAAAAGTTAATCTAGTAAAAGCAAAGGGTGAGTATTTTCTTTTTAGTAAACATAAAACCAACTTAATTTCAAGTTATAAGAATATGTTGGTTCTATTATGAATTAATTTCACTTAAAATGACAGGGCTGGTTTTAAAGGCTTGGGAACAAAGTAGCGAACTGTATGGTCAGGCAAACAGTTAATTATTTCACAAATTAAAATCTTTATCTGATAATTCTCAGTGTAGTACCTATTTCAGTGCATTGGTGTGCATTCTGGCAGGAATGTTCTGATTCTTTGCATTTGGTGAACATTTATTGTTCACTGAACACATCCATTTGCATTTATGTAATTGCTTAGTGTATAATGACTTCAAATGCAGTGATTGCCTGCAAAACTTGTGATTAGATATGTAGTATTTTCAATGCATATGTATATTTTTGCTTGTTACTTGTTAACAATACTCACATATTCTATGTTTATTATCTGATGTGACTTCATATACAGACTCTGTCGCAAGCCATAGTCAAAGTGGTTATCCCAACAGAAAGGTACATGTTTTTCTTTATTATTACTGATCTAAATATAGACAATATCCCCTTCTGAATTTAAAAAGAAATGGTGTTGAGGAAAAGGTAGTATCTTGACTGAGCAATGGTTCCTTCCCAGTACTTTTTGGGGGGATGTGTCAAATTTAACTAACTTTTGTATACTTTGAAATTTTGTGTCAATGTCTTTTTTGTTTTTATTGTTAGCACTGTAGGGAATGTTTATAGTTTGAGTAGTTAGAATGTATTTATTAGCTCTGATTTGGAGTGGTTGGTCTGATAATGATAGACTATTGCAATAGGAAAATAGGTGTTTTAAATGCATCGTAAATTTCGATTACATTACAGTTTGACCCAATCTGTTAATTTTTTTTTTGTTTTCTGAATTATCTGCATTTAATATATAACCTTGGTTTGAGTTCTTACTTAAGGCATAGCTTTGTGGGTTTTTTTTTTTTCCCCAATTGATTTTAAGAAGAAATTCCTGTTATTGTCATGAACACTGGACATACTAGAAACTTTCTTTTCATGATAACAAAGATATTTGGAATTCTTTTATTTTCCTTTCTTTTTTTCTCTTTCAACACACTTAAAGCAGAAGAATTCATGCTATAGGTATGCTCTTGCTCAGTCAAGCTAAGCCTTTTCCCAAACACAGGAACACAACACTGGTTGAATAATAAATGAACACAAAAGAATACCAAATTCTCTTTGACATTGGCCTTGGTGAGCAACACCAGCTGAACTGTCTGCGGCAGCGGGGGACCAGGAAAACATCATGGGATGGATTGGGAAAGTATACAGTTTTTGACCAGACATTGGTACGATCGACTCCAATAAATGTGGTTTTATTATAACTGAGAGACAATTTTTTTTTTGGTTGTTGTTGCCCAGAATAAGATAACTACCATTTTATAATGAAATAATGCACTTTAAACATATCATCTTTTTGTACTACACTGTTTTATTCTAATAGAAAAGTCACCATTTTAAAAATAAACACAATCCTTTAAGGAAGAAGAATGTGATTACAGTTCTTTAGTAATATTGAAGTCAAGTTGTAATAATTAATTGTCAGATTTTGATTTTAAATAATCATGAAACATTTTTCAAATACTTACAAACTTTTAATTTTCTAAAAATAGATTTATCAGTTACAAGCCTGTTTAAAACTATAGTGGGTATTTCACCACTGATAAAAGCATTCACAGGATAGTATTTTTGTAGCATTCAAAAAAAAGCACATATCTAGTGGTAGCTTTACATGTGGCCTAGCTTATTTTTAAACAAAATTTTGAGAATGCGTTTTGCCGAAAATCTTCACTCACCATTAGGATGAATCCTTTGTTTTTAAACTTGCTAAACAATTTTTATCTATCTTTAATACTGAAGTCAAGTTGTTTTTGACTTAATTCACACAAGTTTCTGGATGTGTAATGTGTTCACCGAGTAATTAGTCTTATACATAAAATTTCCCTTAGCTTTAATTTGGCTCATATCAGTGGGAGTTTTGGAGTTTAATTATAACTTTACATTATCTCCCTTTCTTCGAAATGATGTCATTAACCATATGAATGTTGAAGAACTGCATATTTGCAGAGCAATTACTTCTGTGAAAGAAAAATAATTTTTAAATTAAAAATTAAGCAATGCTTTTAGTTTTTTTGTTTTAACAGTTTGAGGTTGAATTAGTAGTTTCAAATGTATAATTTCCCCTTTTTAAAGATTTAAACTGTGATGCAATTTTTTTTTTTTTTACTTCCTTTAGGCTTACATTTTTTCCACTATGTACAGATTTTCTTTGAAGTAGGTTTGCTTGAAAGCTATGAGAAAATAATTATAGTCATCATGAGATAGATTATTTTATGTTCATGTACTCTGAAATAGGGTATTATAGGGCCAAAAAAGTCTGTCTTGTTTTGTAACTATATATTTATTTACATTCTAGCAGTTATATGAACGTAATTTGAGCTGGGAATGCTAAAGGTGTAAATTTAGTGTGTGCCTTGTACCAAGAGCCAATATCCTTTTGCTTTTCCTCATTGTTATTTGCCAACTGTATATGCTGGGGGACTGGTGAAATAAGAAATCAAAAGCAGCTTATAAATAAGCTGGATCATTTTTGCTTGACACCATAATCAATGTCCAAAATTGCGTTTGGAGTCTAATAAAGTATCACATGATTTAAGGACCCAGCTTCAGATTTTAAAAATAAAGAGTTACAATGAATTCAGTCAGTAAAATGACTGTACTAAAAAATTACTCATATATGTTTATTTTTGGCAAAATATTGGAAAATAATTGTTACAGAAAATGGGAAGGACATCTCATCACGTGCCCCATTTTGCAATATTTTAGAAAGAGTAGTACTCCATTCACTTAAGGCTTTGGCAATATAATTTCTTTGTTGATGGATAGTGTATAGGCATATCAATCTCTGTTGTTTTGGAGGGAAAAAAATAATATACAGGCAGAATTCTCCATTTCATGAATTGTGAACTAGTTTGAAGTGTGGTCCAAAGGGATGTTGCCTCATTAAAGGTCAGATTTAATAAAAACTCCATCTCGTATATGTGTACCAGAAAAACACAGGAGTTGGATGGATTTTTTTTTTTTTTATTAAATCAGGCCTTAGACTTGTTAAATAGTTTTGCATTTTTATAAATTATAGCCTTTGTTATAACATTTCAGTAGCACCACAAAAGTGCTTGGTTTAGGAATTTTTTCATGTTAAACTGAGATAGTGTATAAATTTCTAGATGGGTGTAATAACGTAGGCTCTTAAGTTACTGATTTTATATATTAATATTTACAGCTTTCCAATTAGTTGTGATTTATAATTTAATGTTTTGCTTTTGGAAAATAAAATTAAGTGACATTTAGAAAATTAAATATTACTATGAGGCTGTATTGTGGTTTCCTACCCTCCTTCACCTTTCCATCCCCTCCCACTTCCCTACTCCCACTGCCCCACACCCTCTTAATGCACAAGGCATTAACATATGCTCCAGGTTACTTTTTTGGTATTAAGTTTGGTGTTAGTCATCAGAATAATCATTTTCTGCACAATTATAGTAACTTAGGTCAAGTGTAGTTTTATATAGTGGTAGGTCTGAATCCATTTTCTTTAACTGTGTTGTTGTTGTAGGAATTTGCTCGCCCTGATACATCGAATGATAGAGTTTGTTGTACGTGAAGGGCCAATGTTTGAAGCTATGATTATGAACAGAGAAATCAACAATCCTATGTTCAGGTGTGCATTTTTAAAAAATACCTAAGTTTCCCATTTTAACCATTTTTAAGTGTGGTATTAAGTACATTCACATTGTTGTGCAATGATCACCACCATCTATCTCCAGAACTTCTTTCATCTTCCAAAACGGAAACTCTGTATCTGTGAAACAGTAACTCCTCAGTCCTCTGGCTCCTTAGCCCCTGGCAACTGCCATTCTTTCTCTTTCTTAGGAATTTGATTACTCTAGCTAAACTCATATGAGTATAATCATACAATATTTGTCCTTTTGTGACTGGCTTATTTCACTTAGCATAATGTCCTCAGGATTCATCTATATTATAGCATGTCTTGGGATTTCTTTTTAAGGCCAAATAATGTTACATTGTATGTTTTTACTGTATTTTGTTTATCTTCAGGCTTGCATTTTAAAACTACTTTTAATTTCTTGGAATTAAAAATATTTCCAAGAATAAAGTTTTGAAAGTATGGGATTAGTTCTGCAGTGGAATGAGAAGCAGTTTTAGTAATCAGAGTAGAATGTATTGAGACCAATTTTCTGTAAGATTTTGATTTGGGTAATTAAATAGTATTGTTTTTTAGCATTCTCTAGGAGGATTTCATTATGCTTTTTCAATGGCAGAATCATAAGTGAGATACAGTTGAGCAAATGAGTTTTAAAAGAAATTGCTTAATCCTCTGAATTGTTATGGTATCCTAAGATACTAACACTCTTTAAGTAGTGTAAAAATCACTGCTTTTGTAATTATATATTGGGAAAATCTCTCCATTGCCAGATACAGTATCAATAAAAATGATCATAAGACTCGGCATTATGCGTGTCTTCTGAGTATTAATGCCAGTCACTTAGGCAGTCTAGGGCTGGGGTAAGGGAAAGGGGATAGGTATCGGATGGCAGTGGGTGAGGTTCTCTTTAGGGATCTTTGTTTTACTTGTAACTAAATAGGCAAATAGTATTTTTCATTTATTTATACTTAATTGAAGATAGCTCTTTTTTTTTTTTTTAGAGAATATGATGTTTAATGTTTTTTTTGTTTTGTTTAGGTTCTTATTTGAAAACCAGACACCAGCCCATGTTTACTATAGGTGGAAGCTTTATTCTATTCTGCAGGCAAGTAGAATCAATTACTTTTTAAATTTTGACTGAGTTGTTAAGACATTTGTAATAACTTTAAATGTTTGTTAGGGAGATTCTCCAACTAAATGGCGGACGGAAGATTTTCGTATGTTCAAAAATGGATCTTTTTGGAGGCCACCACCATTAAATCCATATTTGCATGGAATGTCAGAAGAGCAAGAAACAGAAGCTTTTGTAGAGGAACCTAGTAAAAAGGGAGCCCTTAAGGAAGAGTAAGATATTTTTCATTTCTATTGTATATTCAGAAAAAACAATGTAATGATAGCTTTAATAGTTGTATTAAGATGTTAACCCTAAAATAATTTTTTTCACTTGTGAATGTTTAAAATAGTAACATCTTTCATCATGTGCTTTATAATTTTAAACATCTTAGCAAGTATAGGTGTGTGTCCTATTGTCGTTGATTTTTCTCCTGATAAAATTAGTGATGATCTCTTAAATATGATTGACTTCTTTCTTTAGCATTGGAGTACTTTAGATTCTTACAGAAACTTTTTGGGGACCTCTAGAATTCTTTCTTCTCTGAATGCAATATAAAGAGGAGAAACTGTTGTGTGGCTAGTAGGATCAGATGTTGGCTGTGCAAAGCCTCTTCGTGATAATTTTCACACTTCATTTGCCATGTGTGGTGAGCTGTGAGATGGCCACCATGAAGTGTGTGCTATTATTGGTCTCACAGCAATTGTACAGTGCAGCTAGCTGATTTAAGAAACAGAAATATATTTATTAAATGTTCAGAGGACATCCTATATACCTCATGGGAAAAAAAAAGGCTAAAAGCATTTTTAGAATATAGAATTAAATATATACATACCTAGTTTTATTGTGCTTTGATTCACTGTGCTCTAGAGATACAGTGTTTTCTATAAATTGAAAGTTTGTGGCAACCCTATGTCAAACAAGTCTGTTGGCATTATTTTTCAAACAACATGTGCTTGCTTCATGTCTGTCACATTTTCATAATTCTCACAATAGCTCAAACTTTTTCATTATTATTATATCTGTTATGGTAATCAGTGATCTTTGATTGTTTTGTGGCACCACAAACTATGGTCATATAAAGAAGATGAACTTAAATAGAAAAATGTGTATCCTGACTGCTCCAGTGACCATCTGTTTTCCCATCATCTTTCCTTCTCTTTAGGCCTCACTATTTCCTGAGACACAATACTATTGGAATTAGGCCAATTAATAATCCCACAATGGCCTTAAGTATCCAAGTGAAAGGAAGAGTCTCACTTCTCTCACATTAAATCAAAAGCTAGAATGATTAAGCTTAGTTAGGAAGGCATCTCAAAAGATGAGACAGGTTGAAAGCTAAGCCTCTTGCACCAAACAGTAAGCCACATTATGAATGCAGAGGAAGAGTTTTTAAAGAAAATTAAAAGTGCTGCTTCAGTGAACAAATGATTGATTAGGAAGCAAAACAGTCTTATTACTGATAGAAAGTTTTGATGGTCTGTATAGAAGATCAGACCAGCCATAGCATTCCCTTATGCCAAAACCTAATCCTGAGCAAGGCTCAAACTCTCTTCAGTTCTTTGGAAACAGAGGTGAGGGAACTCCAGAAGAAAAATTTGAAGCTAGCAGAGATTGGTTCCTGAGGTTTAAGGAAAGAAGCCGTCTTCATAATATAAAAGTTCAAGGTGAAGCAGTAAGTGCTGGTATAGATGCTGTAGCAAATTATCCAGAAGATCTGAGGTCACTCATGAAGCTGGCTACGCTTAATTACATTTTCAGTGTAGACAAAATCGCCTTTTATTGTAAGAAAACGCCATTTAGAACTTATAGCTAGAGAGGGGAAGCCACTGTCTGGCTTAAAAGTTTCAAAGGACAGGCTAACTCTTATTAGGGGCTAATGCAGCTGGTAAGTTGAGGCCAGTGCTCATTTACTATTCCAAAAATCCTAGGACCATTAAGAACTATACTAAATCCACTCTGCCTGTGCTTTATAAATGGAACAACAAGGCCTAGATGGCAGCATATATGTTTATAGCATGGTTTACTGAATATTTTAAGCCCACCATTGAGATCTGCTCAGGAAAATGATTTTTTTTTCAAAATATTACTGCTCATTGACAATGTACCTGATCACCTAAGATCTCTGATAGAGATGTACAAAGAGATTAATGTTTTCATGCCTGATAACACATTATCCATTCTGTATCCCATTGATCAAGGAGTAATTCTGACCTTTAAGTCCTACTTGAGAAATATATTTTATAAGGCTCTAGCTGCCATAGGTAGTGATTCCTCCAGTGCGTCTGGGAAAAAGTCAGTTAGAAACCTTGTGGAAAGCATTTACCATTCCAAATGCCATTAAGAACATTTGTGGGCCAGGTGTGATGGCCCAGACCTGTAATCCCAGTGCTGTGGGAGACCGAGGCAGGAGGATAGCTTGAGACCAGGAGTTCAAGACCAGTCTAAGCAATATAATGAGACCCTTTCTCTATTAAACATAAATAAATAAAAATCTTAAATATCCATTTCAGTTTTTTCTTTGCATGTAAAATAAAGTCAACATTAACAGGAGCTTGGAAGAAGTTAATTTTAACCTTCATGGATGACTTTGAGGGATTCAAGACTTTATTAGAGGAAGTAACTCCAAATACGGTGGAAATAGCAAAGGAACTAGAATTAGAAGTAGAGCCCAAAGACACAACTGAATTGCTGCGATCTCATGATAAAACTTTAATATTAGAGTGAGGAGATGCTTCTTAGGGATGAGCAAATTATGTGGTTTCTTGAGATGCAATCTACTTCTGATGAAAAGCTGTGAACATTGTTGAAATGAAAAGATTTAGAATTTTACATAAACTTAGTTGATAAAGCAGTGCGGGGTTTGAGAGGATTGACTACAATTTGGAAAGAGGTTCTCCTCAGGGTAAAATGTTAACAAACAGCATCTCATGCTACAGAGAAATCCCCTGTGATGAGAAGTGTCACTTGATGCAGCAAACTTCATTGTTGTTTAAGAAATTGCTGCAGCCACCCTAACCTTAAGTTACCAACATCCTGATGAGTTAGCAGCCGTCAACACTGAGGCAAAACCTTCCACCAACAAAAGTATTATGACTCACTGAGAGCTCAGGTGATTGTTAGCATTTTTAACAAGAGAGCATTTTTAAAGTAACATATACATTTTTTTTGGACATACTGCTATTGCATACTTAATAGATTTACAATATGGTATAAACATAACTTTTACATGTACTGGGAAACCAAAAAACTTGTGTGATTTGCTATATTGAGATAATTGCTTTATTGCAGTGGTCTGGAACCAAACTCACAATCTGAGATATGCCTGTGTGAACTTTACTGCAATCTATAAATCTTAATACTTGTTGCATTGATTCATTGTTTATGAGAGCATTTGCCAATGAAGTGCAATACCGTTTGAGTGTATTTGCTTCTGAAAGGTATATGTTCATAATCACCGTAGTCCTAGGAATTGCAAACTCAGCTCATAGGCTAAATCTGGCTGCCTCCTGTTTTGGAAAATAAAGTTTTATTGGAATACAGCTAATTCTCTTCCTTTACATGTTGTCTGGCTGCTTTGGAGCTATACCAGCAGGGGGATAGAGATCATATGGCCTGTAAAGCCTAAAATAATTATATATATTTTTTGAGACGGAGTCGCTCTGTCACCCAGGCTGGAGTGCAGTGGCGCAATCTCGGCTCACTGCAACCTCTGCCTCCACGGTTCAAGCAGTTCTCCTGCCTCAGTCTCTTGAGTAGCTGGAATTAACACGCGCCTGCCACCATGCTTGGCTAATTTTTGTATTTTTAGTAGAGATGGGGTTTTACCATGTTGGCCAGGATGGTCTCAAACTCCCGACTCTGTGATTTCGCCTCGGCCTCCCAAAATGCTGGGATTACAGGCATGAGCCACTGTACCAGGCCAGTCCTTCCCTTTACAGAAAAAGTTAGCCTGTCCTAATCCCAGGCCGAAGTGCTAAAGTAATAGACTTTCTTCAAAGAAGTGGGGTAAAGAACATGAAAGTTCTTCAGTATCATGGGATGGTAGGACTGGGGCACTCTTAAAGACTCTTGAAGAAATGCCCATAATTTTAAATTTACTTAATTTGTAAGCTGAAAACATCATTGGGATCTTTTAATAGTTCTACAGGATATTCTTTCTTACATAAGTTCTTCAAAAAATTCTAACAATTTTGGGGGACACAACACAAATCAGACTTAATACATTACAGTCTTCAGATTTATTTTATATGAGTAGATTTTAAAGAAATTAGTCAGCAAAAGCTACAATGGCATTTGAAATTGCATCTAAATATTTATAAATTAAAACAATTTATGTTCAGACAGAGGGATAAATTGGAAGAAATCTTGCGGGGATTAACTCCAAGGAAAAATGATATTGGAGATGCAATGGTTTTCTGTCTTAATAATGCTGAAGCTGCTGAAGAAATAGTGGATTGCATTACTGAGTCATTGTCCATCTTAAAGACACCCCTTCCTAAAAAGGTACGGGAATGAATTTCTCTTTATGAACATTTAATTAAGAAAAGGGGATATAGTTGCCACCTTTTGGGATTAGAATTGGTTTCTTTTTTGCACAAGTAACTTGACTGATGAAATTTTTCCCATGCAGTCTTATGTTACTTCTGCTTGGAAATTTAGGTTCATTAACATACAAGTTACAAACAAATTGAAATGTAAATGAATTAACAAATTTCATCCCTGCCCAAGTCATGGTCGTGGTGATACTGAGTTTCATATAACTTTTCTAATTAGTAGCCATTACTAAATTATAGCTAAACATTAGCCTTACACTAATCTATTTTGTGTTATCTTTTGGTATTATAGATTGCCAGATTATATTTGGTTTCTGATGTTTTGTACAACTCTTCAGCCAAAGTTGCTAATGCTTCATATTATAGAAAATTGTAAGTATAATGGTATTCCTGAAATAAAGTATTTAAGGGTAAGGAGTTCAGAAAAGAGGATTGTTTTGTTAACATCCTCCACTAATAAGAAATATAGTCAGCCCTCCATGTCTGTGGGTTCTGTATCTATGTATTCAATCAACCACAAATTGAAAATATTTCAGAAAAAAAGTTCTGTCTGTACTGACTTTTTTCCTTGAAATTTTTTATACCATGCAATATGAAAACTCTACATAGCATTTACATTATATTAGGTACTATAAGTAACCTAGAGACGATTTAACAGATGGGAGGATGTGCATAGGTTACAGGTGAATACTAGGTCATTTTTCAATCAGGAACTTGAGCATCTATGGATTTTGGTGTCCATGGGAGATCTTGGAACCAATCCCCTCAGGGATGCTGAGGGAAGACTAATTTGACTTTCTTCATGGTTTATAGGATGTTTTTAAAAATTGGCTTACACTTAAGCTAAATTACCAATTTTTGGGAAAGATTTTATATCACTTCCTTAGTTATTGACAGTAGAACAAATAGGTGCTGTTAAAGATAACTTTTTAAATTGCATATCTAGCTACTCGTATAATAAATAAATTGAAACAATGTATATACTGGCCAACATAAGAGATCAAAGTTCAAGAGGGGTTTTCATTGTCTAGCATACTAAAAGAGAAAGGAATTTTAAACATTTTATTTCAAAGAATGCATTATTTGAATTTCAGTTTTGAAACAAAGTTATGTCAGATATTTTCAGACCTCAATGCCACCTATCGTACAATTCAAGGTCATTTACAATCTGAAAACTTTAAGGTACGTTTATTGTTTTACTATTTTTGCCCTAGTGTTTTGGATGGATGGGGGGGATCAAATATGAGACATAAATTTAAAACTTAGATGTTACAGAAATTACTGTTTTAATATTCTGTCATTTTTGTTTTTCTCAAAAAATCAAAAATTTTAAAGATATTTTGTCAGGTGTTTAATTTTAGTTTTAAGTATTATTTAAATATTATAAATGTTAGTCTTTTTCATAAAACATCCAGAAGAATCACTTGTTTCGTAATGGTATATATTGTTTTGCTGGATTAAAGACATACATTTTAATCATGTTTAGAAACTATATTCTGTTACCAATTTTTTTATGACCTCTTAAGCTGTAGACCAGTGTTAAGAAAAGCCAAGTGGAGTACTTTGCTTATTATAGAATAAGTAAATATGCTTTCATGGAAAGAAGACATTGTTAAGAAAAATTTTTAGTTTGGGAAGATGCCTGACCATTTTTATGGCATTCAGACAACTCCCATTTTAAAAGTTTTTGACCTTAAATTTTGACTCTAAGTTAGAATTTAAAGAAAAGTTTAGGGAAGATAAGGAGTAAAGTGTTACCTAGAATTAGGAAGTACTTCATTGGACCATAAGGGATTCGGGTCAAAACTTGGCTACCAATTTTTACAAGTTTCCATGTGTTTCCTGGAATGTGGCTTATGTGTAGTACTAATGATATGGGAGATGAACTTAGGTGATAGTTACTGTTTATTTTTATAGTTACTTAGCAGATAGTTACTGTTTATTTTTCATTTTATTTATTTTTGGGTTTTTTTTTCTTTATAATTAGAAGGTGACATTTTTTTAAAAATGTGGTAATGATAGATAGTTATTTAAAGTTTAAAAAAATTGTCAGTTTCAAGGCAAATTTAGCAAATCTTGATGGTGATTCTCGTGAACTGAAATTTGAGACACATAGCCCAAAATAAAAATTTGTTGTTGTTTCCTGTTTATTTAGCAACGGGTAATGACTTGCTTCAGAGCATGGGAAGATTGGGCAATTTATCCAGAACCATTTTTGATCAAACTACAAAATATTTTCTTAGGACTTGTAAATATTATTGAAGAAAAGGAAACAGAGGTAGGCACTGTGTGTTTGGTTTTTAAAATTTGTATCTGGGGTGGAGGTTTCTTGGTGGTTTGCTATGTTACATATGTGAAGTACATTTCTTTGTGAAAAATACTATTGTTTACCACTAAATAGTGGGTTTTTATTGTTGGAACCCAGGAGTCAAAAATTACATATAACAGGAATTCTCTGTCTTGTGTCCTTATGTGAAAATTGATGAGTAGTGTTTTTATTTAATGATTTAAGATTTATGATATGTTATTAATAGTGGGGAAAAAGCATTTAATAGAGCAATATATATAGCATGACTTAATTTTGTTAAAGATAGCTATATAAGTAAATGTGTGTATGAAAAGATGCATCACATGATAGCAGATAATATACATCACTATTCTGTTGGTTTTTTTTTTTTTTTTTAACCTCCTAAATTATTACTGAATCCTTCATCTTTAATTCTGCCTTGCAAGTCAGCTATTATGTTTTCACTTTCACTCCTGCAGGATCTTCCTAATTGGCCTTACTGTTGCAACCCACATAGTCCTTGTTTCAGTTTCTTAAATGTGTGTTTCCACTTACCATTGGCCTTTATACATGTTCTTTACTCTTTCTGGGACTTCTCTTTACCTGAGACCCTTTAGATCACAGCTCAAGCATAAACTTAGAGAGCCTTCTGTGACCTCTTTCAGTGAAACTTACTATGCTAATAGTATGATATGCCTTTTTGCTGTAGCAGTTATCATAGTTACAGATAAGTGTATATTGTTGTGATTATCTGATTTCCTGGTTCCCACCACCCCCAAAACAACAACAGAAACCTTTACCAGGCTCTGTAACAGGGAACCCAAACTTGTTTCTACTCATCATTTCCTCACATGGTACCTGGCACCAATGAGCATTTGGCAAACATTAAATAAATACACAACTGACTACTCCTTTAGCAAACTGGGTGATAGAATATATTCTTATTATGTTCTTACATTGTACCTTGGAGTGTGGGTATCCGGGTATGTTGGCTTGGCTGGATTACAAATTAATCCTTTGCTTCAGCAAGCTAAGGAAAATGTTATAATAGTACACATTTCTGTAGGATGTACCAGATGACCTTGATGGTGCCCCCATCGAGGAAGAGCTTGATGGTGCACCTCTGGAAGATGTAGATGGAATTCCTATTGATGCTACTCCCATTGATGATCTTGATGGAGTCCCTATAAAAAGTCTTGATGATGATCTTGATGGAGTGCCTTGTAAGTTCCAATTTCAAAACGATTAAATCTAGCTAATAAGTTTGGTTACCAAAACTTTAATTTCCCATACATGCTGATGTGAAAAAAGGTTATAGTGTCTCATTAAGGTATCAAATTATTAACTTTTTTATTTCTGAATTTTCAAAATTCTAATACCCAGTAATACATTTATTTGTATTAATAAATATATTAGAAGCCTTTTTCTGGTCACATTTTATTGGGACAATCAGCCTCCTATAAATATTAGTAGGTTTCTCTTTTCGTCTTAATTGTCAGAAAATTATAAGCAAATTTTGCATAATCCTAGGTTTCTGGTTTTATCAGTTCTGTATTTATTACTAATTTTTCTATCCTAACTTCAGTTTTCCTAGCTGCTTAAAATCATTTTGAAAATAGGAACTATACACAGCTCTTTGGTACATTTGAATTATATGTTTAAATATTGAATAATGTATGCAGTTTTGTATTTTAAACATTAGGTAAAGGTATTCAGGATTTGTTTTACTTCTCAACTTCTTCACTTGCTTGATGTATTACTAACCTGTATTTTCTGAATTAATAATATATACTGCTAAAAATTTGCCCTCAGATGCAGAGAATTGGTTTAGTCATAGTCCTTGTTCTTAGTATTACTGTTTGTCCATCTATTATGTCCTTATTTTACTTTGCTTTTTAATAATATAGTGAACACCCATGAACCTAATACTTCGGGTCATCCCCTAGTCATCAGGGTTAATGGCTTATCTTTCTCTAATAGTGGATGCAACCGAAGACTCAAAGAAGAATGAGCCTATATTTAAAGTTGCCCCATCAAAATGGGAAGCTGTGGATGAATCTGAATTGGAAGCACAGGGTAAGTAAAAGTAAAATAAATACTTTAAAATTAAGTACTTATAAATTAATTATTGGTGTGCTTATATATATAATTTCCTTTTATGTTTTATAACGTTTTAACCTTAATACTCAGTGTTACCGTATTTTGTGTCTAGTGTACACTTTTATTGTGGTTGGTGTTGCTGTTACAATTTTCTTAGGTCCTTCAGTTTGGAAGTTTTGAGAGTAGTAAGATACCACTGCAAACCTTTTAGGTTAAGCCATTTTAGTAGCAAATGTAGGTGGGAAGCTGTACCTATGTAGAAATGTACAGAGGTCAGTTTCAGAGAAACAAAGTTTTCACCAAGCTTTGACTCTCCCATAGCGCTAGACTGATTAGATGCCATTTAGACCTGCCGTTCACACTTACTTCAACCTGTATCCTAGTGCTAATAATCTGTAATTGTTAACTATTTATAGGTTCTAATGAAATATATCTTAACATTCAGCACAGAACTAAGAATGGCATTATTCGTCACTTCATGAATTTGAATTATACTGTTGGTGTGATGAAAGAGATTTGGCACATGCTATTTAGAGAATTGATAAACATAGATTTAAAAAAACTTCTGTAATACAGACTTTACAGTTCTAAAGCTTGAGCTTCCACTGTGCTACTGCGAAAATGCTAGTTTACCTCATGGAATTACATCCTCCTTTTCCTTCCATTCAGCCGTTACAACTTCTAAATGGGAATTATTTGACCAGCATGAAGAATCAGAAGAAGAAGAAAATCAAAAGTAAGAATCTTAAGTTTTGAATATACTGTTTCTTGTTCATATACACTCCCCTTTTCATGTACTTGAAATAATAGCGAAGTGGAAAACTTAACTGTTAAAAAAATTTGTGAGAGGATTATTTTTAGTTCTCCATTGGTTTTCCAGTGACTAAAAGAGCTTTTGTTTTCTGGTCTTGATGCATCTCGTTTCATTTTGCTTTTGAGTTTTTTATGCTAGGTTACATTCTCACTGTGTAGTTACTAATTGATCAACTGCATTTGTTTCAAACCTTTGCCATCAAATACTGTTTTGGGCTCCACAAAAAGTGGTTTGTAAAATGTGAGTAGGAAGGGTTATACTCCTTTTCTTTTGGATTGTACATTACTAAGAAAAATATTGCATTAGGGAGATTGTGTTATTTAAATGTAAACTTTTCAGAAGAACTAAGAATGAATACAGAGGAGAAAACAAATTTCTTTTGAAATACGGAGAAAGAATAATTTTGATTTTGCTGTTTCTTTGTTTTTTTTTTTTTTTTTTTTTTTTTGAGATGGAGTTTCACTCTTGTTACCCAGGCTGGAGTGCAATGGCACGATCTCGGCTTACTGCAACCTCCGCCTCCTGGGTTCAGGCAGTTCTCCTACCTCAGCCTCCTCAGTAGCTGGGATTACAGGCACGCGCCACCATGCGCAGCTAATTTATTTTTTTATATTTTTAGTAGAGACGGGGTTTCACCTTGTTGACCAGGATGGTCTCGATCTCTGGACCTCGTGATCCACCCGCCTTGGCCTCCCAAAGTGCTGGGATTACAGGGTTGAGCCCCCGCGCCCGGCCGATTTTGCTGTTTGTTAATCACCCCAAAATTGTTTTTGTTTCTGACACTGTGATTGTAGGCATCTCTGCTCTCAAATTCTCTTGCAGATTTGTGTTGGTAGTTTTTAGAAAGTGCTTGACACTTTTTAAAATTGCAATGGGAGTTGATTTTTTTTTTTTTTAAATGAGTAGGAAGAGATGGGATCACAAACACAAAGCGCAGGTTTCTGTCTTTATAAGTTTTGCATTCTTTTATTGTTCTCAAATAAGAGAAAGCTGGTGTGTCCTAGCACAATATGGGCATTTGTGTGGATTTAATAAATGGCATTTGGATTGTTGGGAAAATGTGCTCAATCCACAGGTTATAGAAACACAGTGTGATATGATGGTAAAAACCTGTCTACAATGATGTTTTTCCAGAAATGTTGGTATGATTAGAACAAGTCAGCAGTGATTATGACAGAATATTTACAAAATATAGATGTGGCTTGCCATTGGAAATAGTTATCTGAGGCTGTTTAGGGATGCACAAATTTAGTTCAGTTTGCTTTAAAAAAGTGGTTTTCTGAACCCTTTTTATGTTCATGATCCTATCAGCGACATCTTACCATTTTAGAATCACTGCTTTAAAAGTAGTATATGTACCCATCAAAATAATTGTTTAATTTGGGGGGAAGGCAGGGTAGAAAAGCCATTGAACTGAAAAAAAGTATTGTTTCATTAGTTTTATTTCTATAAAGGTATTAGTGTTTTTGGCATAAAACTGGTATTTGTGTTAATGTTTGGAATATGAGTACATTTTAGCATGGATGTTGGAATAATCATACATTGGTGGAAGCCTGGATCACTAGAAGTATAATTTTAGATTTTTCATTTTTCTTCGGAATTCCAGATAAATCATAATGTAAAAAAGTAGAAAGTACAAAGCAAGGAAAAAAAACCTTTCGCATACAGCTTCTGATCCTTGAAATTTTCTCTTGCCTCACTACTACTCTCTAGTGGCTGAATCAGAAATGCCTTTTTACTTAAGGCTGATTTTGTAATTAGTAATTACTGTATTTTGTGGCAATATTGTGATTTGTGGCAGAAATGTGATTTTTAAAAAGCACATTTTGGAGAAAAGTTACAAAAGCAGTTTCATTTGTACTGAATACTGTATGAATTTAGCATCTTGAACTTGCATGTCTTTTTAAAAAAAGAAGAGGAATAAGCTGTGATAAGATTTGAACCTCGAATTGTGACTAAAGCTAAGGCCAAAACCAGTTGAGAAAAACTACTTAGGCCTTGAAAAAAATTATAATAGTAATTTAAAATATTTACATATTTTAAATCATGAATAGAGCTAATTTTAAAAGTCTTAAGTAATATGGTTAAATGTTTAATGTTTGGCCATCTAGACCCTTTCTGTGTAAATAAAAACATGGAGAGCTATTTGAACGTAAATGACGTAATACTGTTGTACATACTGTTGTGACACCTTTATCATTTTAATTCCATCTATTTACCTGTTCTGTATTCATCCATGATTGAAATGATATTATTCCATTTTAATCCATCTATTTACCTGTTCTGTATTCATCTATGATTGAAAGCAGACATTTGGGTAAACATACAAGAATGTTTACCAAGGAATATTTGAAATTGCAAAAAAAAAAAAAAAAAAAAAAAATTAGAAAAAATTTAACAGACTAGAATTGGTTAAGTAATCAATATCTGCTGTATTATTGATTCATAGTAACTGTGACTCAGTTTAATGAAATCACTTCCTTATTGACTTTTAGAATAATTCTTCAGTAAACGTCCCTGTTTACATAAACACACATAAACAAACACTTCAGCAATTTAAAAGCATCTGAAACACTTGTAAAATTTTATGTACCATAAAACAGGAAATTCTTGTGTTTTAAAAAAATTAAAAACTGTATTTAGGGCCGGGCACGGTGGCTCAAGCCTGTAATCCCAGCACTTTGGGAGGCCGAGGCGGGTGGATCACGAGGTCAAGAGATCGAGACCATCCTGGTCAACATGGTGAAACCCCGTCTCTACTAAGAATACAAAAAAAAATAGCTGGGCGTGGTGGCGCGTGCCTGTAATCCCAGCTACTCAGGAGGCTGAGGCAGGAGAATTGCCTGAACCCGGGAGGCGGAGGTTGCGGTGAGCCGAGATGGCGCCATTGCATTCCAGCCTGGGTAACGAGCGAAACTCCGTCTCAAAAAAAAAAAAACAAAAAAAAAAGAAACAAAAAAAAAACTGTATTTAGGAAATTTTTGACAAATTAATGCGAAATATTAGTTAAAAGTATTCTTTTTTTCCAAAAAGAATATTTTTAAACTGTTGTTTTTGACTTTTCCTAATACCGCTAATATAGGTATTGAGTTGTACCTAGGCGATATTAATGATTTGTGGCGTTCTGAAGATGAAGTTAGTAAAACACTTTAGTAATGTCTAGAAAGGGCCAGTGGGTGAGAAATTTAAAAGCTAGTATCAGATTTTTCTCAGTACTATATCTTTCCTGATTCAGAATTGACTGCACTTTCTTTTTATCTGCCTGGCTTAAATTTTTCTCTCATACAATGAAAGTCTTATTATATTAAACTTTATTTAGAAAGCATTTGATTATAACTGTTTTTACATTATTAGTAATGATTCTACATGTATATTAAAAGGAATCTTTCTGCTTACTGTAGAATGTACTTAGTTCCCAAATAATAACCATAGAAGGACTTGCAAGGTTCAAGTTTCAAAGGCAAAATAGCATTTGTTCTGTTATGCCAGTAATGTTGTTATCACAGTCAACATTGTTTGTAAGGAATTTTGTTTGTATATACATCAACATTCTGAGTTTGTTTGTACATGGGTATCTTGTTTTGCCCAGACTTATTTGACAATAATATACACACACACACACACCACCTAGTCCCAGAACATAAAACACTTTTTTTTTTACACCCATTCATTCTTTGTGCTTCAGAAACACTTTGTTACTCCTGTACTAGTATTGATGACTAACCAGCAGCTTTTTACATATAGTTGCCTGTTTGTGTTTCCACTAGACTGCTTCTGGAAGGACAAGAAAATTTTTTTTCTTTGTATCCTAAGTGACTTACTCATGACTGTCTTTCCGTTTTTTATTTTCTTCTTGTCTGACTCAGAACCAGTGCAATTTTCAGAATCAATTAAAATATGAATACTTGTATTTGCTAATAAATGAAGTGTATACATTGCTTTATTGTTAAGGTTATGGGCTAAACAGATAAGGTCTTTACTAGCTGTAGTGATTATTTCCCAATAACTCTGTGACTCAAGCTCATATGTTTTCTAGATTGATTATAGGCTCTGCTGAAATTACTAAAGGCACACATAAATCTTTTTTTATTTTTTTTTAATTTTCATTTGAATAGTTTTTGATGTACAAGTGGTTTTGGGTTACATGGATATTTACTGAGTGATTACTGAGATTTTGGTGTACCTGTCACCTGAGCAGTCGACACTGTACCCAATATATAGTCTTTTATTCCTCAACCCCTCCTGTCCTTCCAAGTCCCAGGAGTCCCTTGTATCATTCTTAGGCCTTTGCATCCTCATAGCTTAACTCTCACTTATAAATGAGAATGTACAATATTTTTGAATATTCTTAACTCACAATATGAGTGCAGTAACTCAGGAATAGAAAACATAAAGCTTCTTGAAATCACTCTGAACTGTGAAGTATGCAGAAACTGTTGATCATTCATTTCATTTAATGGGTGCAAGGAAAGTTTGTTGCAAATGGAAGGCACACAGATAACATTAACATAAGCAGAATATATTAAAGTATGCTTATGTTGAAGCTCAAACTTTTTCTGTGAGGAAAGAAGTGTTTTATAAAATTGTCTATAAAATATTGACAGAATATTTTGCAAAACATGCTTGAGGTATGAATTGTATTATGTTTTGCTTATGTTATTTAAGCTACAGTGAATAATAAAATATGTGGACTATAAAATATGGTACGCTCTTGCTGCCTTGACATGCAGTGTATTCTGCTTATTTCTAAAGTCAAGAAGAAGAAAGTGAAGATGAAGAAGATACTCAAAGTTCCAAATCTGAAGAACATCATTTGTACTCTAATCCAATAAAAGAAGAAATGACTGAGTCCAAGTTCTCTAAGTACTCTGAAATGAGTGAGGAGAAACGAGCCAAACTTCGTGAAATTGAGGTTAGTGTTACAGTGAAACTTAAATTACACTTTACTGGCTTTTCACTTTCTCCACCAAACTAAGCTTCCTCTTTGCATCATACCTTTAGTATATACTGTTCCCTCTCTCTGCTTAGAACTCCTCATACCAGGTGACTTTTCTTCAGGCCTTTTAGTTCAACATTCTGTTCACTCACAGTATCCTTTTCTTACCCTTTTGGATTTGCTTGCTTATTTCTATTTATTTCTGTGTGATTTTACATGTATTGAGGGGTATGTATGTGAATGTGTATTTTTTTCGTTTGCTTACCTGCTTTGCTTGCTTATTTAATGTCTCTTTTCCCCATTAGGCTGTACTTTCCATGAGGGGAAAAGACTATGTCTGTTTTCTCTTCATCATTGTATCTCTAGTACATGGCACATAGGAGATCCTCTGAAGAAATGGATTCTAATATATATAGATTTTATATATATGTACACACATATGTAATATATTATGTGTTATATACTGTGAGAAATCATTTCATTTGAGTGTTCATAATATATAGCTAGGAAAAAGTAAAACATTATCTGGCACGTTCTAGTTACGTTTACATTTTATTGTATTAGGCTCATTTTTAATGTCTGTACCTGTAATATGGAGGAGAGTAGACACTGAGTGGGTCTTAATACTAAAAGGTGGGAAAATGTGCAGAAGAGACCAAACTATCTCAGGCAGACATTTCCCCCCCTTTTCCCCCCTCCTCTGTCCATTTTTTGTTGTTATTGTTGTTTGGAGATTGGGCTTTTCTCTGTTGACCAGGCCTGGAGTGCAGTGGTGTGACCTTAGCTCACTGCAATGTCAAACTACCAGGCTCAAGAGATTCTCCCACATCAGCCTCATGAGTAGCTGGGACTACAGATGTGTACCACCAAGCCCCCCAACTAATTTTTCTTTCTTTCTTTTTTTTTTTTTTAATAGAGGTGAGGTCTCACTGTGTTGCCCAGGCTGGTCTCGCTCTCTCTTTTTTAAATGCCTTTTGTTTGTCCAAAGCTATTCGGACATGTCAGAGAGCGAAGGGCTTTGTAATGCCCTCAAGGGGATGAAATATTCCCAGCAAATGCTAGCAGTAGTTTAGCAGTTAGTCTTGAACCTCAAAAGAATTTATGAGAGTGAATTTTCATACTCTGTACATTCATTGAACAGTATTTTTGAATGCCTATGTATGTCAGTACTGTTTCCCTTGCTAACTTACGATACCTGTCCACATTAGTTACCTCACTGCCACTTCTCCACTGTTGGGCTGATACAAGTTCTTGCCCACCTCTTTGTCAGACATCACCAAACTGAAAAGTAAACAGAGACAACATTTTGTTTTAACCTTATATGTAGTCAGCATGGTGTCATTTATAAGTAGAAATGAAGGATTTTCAGAGTTGATTAGTTGATTTATTTTTTCCTGGGATATATTTGTATACATTTTAAATATGATTTTTAGGGGGATAAGATGTGTGTCAGTGAACACACTCACCTGTGCACCTTTTCAGCCTATACATGCCCCTCTTTTACTCCTCTCACCTTACTGAAAGCTCTGCCTTTCTGACCTGATAAAACTGTTAGAGTAGAAACAGACTTGAGTTAAATAAAAATACATTTTCTTGATAATAAAAGCTATTGCCTTATAAATGCCCGACTGTTTAGAATATTTTATTTCCTTATTAACTTGAAAAGAGGAAACCATGTAATTTAACCTTTTTCTGTTAACTTAGTTGGTTTTTATAAACCTTACTCCTTCCATATATGTGACACATGTGCATGCACATTGCATACATACATGTTATATGCATATATTTTCATACTTTATGTGCTCTTTTGTAATCTGACCTCTTCTTTGTGTATTCAGTGATTATTTCTTCTGGTTTCATAGTGACTGCCTCTCACGACTTAGTTGTCTTTCTGTGATTTGGACTATGAACTAAGTCCTGATTTTAAAATGTGTATGTTGGTTTCATTTTAGAATTATCTAATACTTCTCCCATATATCCTTTGAGAGATTTAGTCATATGGAATAAAATTTTACAACAGGTGGCAAACTGGGACTAGAACTCAGGGCTCATGAGCAGACTAGGGCTTTTCCTAGCTCTCTTCTCTTCCCCTAAATTTGGATATCCATTTCTAGACTTAGAATCCAGTGAGTACTAACCCTTTTATTGGAGAACCATTTTAAAGAATAAAGTTCTAAAGTAGTTTATCTAATTAGTTCTATTATATACTATGGTATATATACTATAATTTTCCATCCCCACTTGTGTCCTAATAAAGATACCTATAGCTGAACATTTTTAAGCATAGAATAAATAAAAACCAAATGATTCGTGTTACAAAATACTAACATCCTTTGTAAAAGCACAAAAATCTTGTAGCTATATGATATTGTGGTGGCCAGAAGCAAGTTCTTAATCTTTCATATACCACTGAGAGCAGTGCCTAGGTTGGAGTTACCTTTTCTCGTTCTTCTGTTGTCCCCATTTCTAGCAACAAGGTTGGAAGAGTAGAATAGTGGGTGGGGACCCAAGTGAAGATCTTCTGTCTTGTTGGAAGAGAGAGATCACGTTCTTTCCTCTTCCGTGGGGAAAGGGTGAATAGTTGAGTTGGAAGGTGATACCTCTCTGAGGCCTGAAGGCAACAAGGGATAGATGGTTAACAAGCCATTGCATGGGCCACTTCCCTTTGTGTTGCGACCGTTGATCATCTGTTTTCTGTGTGCCTTGGACTTGTGCTTGAGCCTCAGTTAGACTATATCAACAGGAACTGTAAGTAGGGATTGTATAGTGATTTTTAAAAAGATTATCTTAGGAATCCCTCCTCTCCCCTAAATAACATTCAGGTCTGTTGTTTGACTCTCAGACACTTAACTCTTAAACTGATTTTCTACAAATACATTCTGTAGAAGAGTCATCTTGGTCACGAGAGGCTTCACACAGTGATGAACTTAGCTATTTATGTTGCCCACCCCACACCCCATTGCTTTCTCAGCCTTACATCTTGTCTTTTAAATGCAGTCATTCTTAAAACACACCGACTTTTAGAGAGCGTTGAAAGAAGAGAAGGAGAGAACATCAAAGCTCTGGTTATAAAAGATTCTGATTATAGAAGTGAAAATATGTCTGAAATCCCAGCACTTTGGGAGGCTGAGGTGGGTGGATTACTTGAGGTTAGGAGTTTGAGACCAGCTTGGCCAACATGGTCAAACCCTGTGTTGACCATACAAAAGTTAGCCAGGCATGGAGGCTGATGCAGGAGAATCGCTCGAACCCAGGAGACTCTGGGAGGTGGAGGTTGCAGTGAGCTGAGATAGCTGCCACTGCATTCCAGCTTGGGTGACAGAGTGAGACACCATCTCAAAACATAAATAGTTTTTTTTAAAAAAGTGAAAATAGATGGTAAAACAACAAAATTGGAGAACTTATAAGTAACATTCATGAAGTCAAAAATAGTGGAAACACCACTTGGGGCCAGGCATGGTGGCTCACGCCTATAGCACTTTGGGAGGCCGAAATGGATAGATCAGTTGAGGTCAGGAGTTCGAGACCAACCCGGCCAACATGGCAAAACCCTGTCTCTACTTAAAAAACATACAAAAATTAGCCACTTGGGAAGCTGAGGCAGAAGAATTGCTTGAACCTGGGAGGTGTAGGTTGCAGTGAGCCAAGATTGTGCCACTGCTGACAGAGTGAGACTATCTCAAAAAGGAAAAGAAAGGGAAATACCACTTGGAATGGGGTGGGAAATGTTTTTGTAGCTTGTTTCTATTCTGTTGGAAAGACTAATTTATAGTAAAGGGATTAAAAAGCAAGCGAGGTCTTGGTTTTGAAGTATAAATAATATGCTGTAGCAGCATTTAGTCCACTTAAAGGACATACCAGTGTCTGAATAAAACAGGATAGAATCTTAGCATCTGCAGGAATTTCATTAGACAAGAATGCTTCCTCTTTCTCTTTGCGTGGAACAATATTGAGCAGATTGGCAGCCCAGTGGTACCATCCAAGATCCATGTGCTTTCTGCAACTTGGAGGATCTTCTAGGTCCTTATACTTTTCACCTTATTTGCCCTCCTTTAGAATTCAAGAAGAAGGTGTTTTCGCCCTTGTAAATTTTTTGGATAATTTAAGCTCCTCTAAGCCTTAGGGTAGTTTTTATTTTAACCACTTTATTTTTAAATTCAAAATAAATCATGCATTTATTCTTTTTACTATTTTTATATAGTACAAAATTTTTAGATACTTAAATCTCCAGAATAAAAAGTAAAACTAAGCTCACTTGTTGCAAGTTTTTTTCTCTCCCTGTAACTTATTTTACTAGTTTATTCAGATCTTTATGCTTTGCAATATATAAGTGTATTATATATGTTCCTGTGTTAGCCAGAAATCTCTGGGTAAACATGTAGTTGTTCTACGTTTACAAACAATGTTGCAATGAATATCTTGTACAAATACCTTTGTGAACTTATATAGGTATCCTGAAGGATAAGTAAGAGATGGAAATTTTTCTGGTCTGGTTTTTTTTTTTTTTTTTTGAGATGGAGTTTTGTTCTTGTTGCCCAGGCTGAAGTGCAGTGGTGCGATCTCAGCTCACCACCTCCGCCTCCCAGGTTCAAGCAATTTTCCTGCCTCAGCCTCCGGAGTAGCTGGGACTACAGGCATGCAACACCATGCCCAGCCGATGTTGTATTTTTAGTAGAGACGGGATTTCTTCATGTTGGTCAGGCTGGTCTTGAACTCCCAATCTCAAGTGATCCGCCCACCTCGGCTTCCCAAAGTGCTAGGATTACAGGCGTGAGCCTCTGCGCCTGGCCTAGTCTGTTTTAATCGGTATTTACTCTTATTGTCTTAAAAAGTACTCTCCAAATATGATTTAACCTTTTCTTTGTGATTTGAGGTCTGGTGATTGCACTGTGAGTGGAACCTTCAGACTGTGTGCACTTTTGTGTGTTTGGTCTTACATGAGCTGAACCAGAATGCCACGGCCTCCTACCCCTGCCTCTTTTTAAAAGATGCTTATCTATGTTCTGCTGACTGTAATATCTTGCTGGCAACCTTGCTTTAGCAACCTTGCTTTTCTAATTTATGGAACCACATACCAAATTTGTTATAATTGTGTTGAGAGAATAAAGGCTTCTTGCAGCCATGAAGCCTGTTTCATGGTTTTTGAGTCCTCTCGTGATCACAGAAAGCTCCTATCTGATCAGTTGACTTTTACGTAGTTTGGCTTGTTTGACACGTGGCCCTCAGGTGAGGTTGTATTTTAACACGAGTACTAATTAGTTATGCTGTAGAAAAGAAGCAAAACAGTGCTTGAGAAGCTAGAATGATGAAAATACTTATTTTTAAAATGTTTAATTTCACAGCTCAAAGTTATGAAGTTTCAGGATGAACTGGAATCTGGAAAAAGACCTAAAAAACCAGGCCAGAGTTTTCAGGAGCAAGTAGAACACTACAGGGATAAACTTCTTCAACGAGTAAGAAATAAATATACCCAATAATACACATTTTTTGAAGTTATTTATTTGACTTCCTAGAATATTGGTATACTCAAAAGATGATTTTAAATTATGTCCTTTGTGTAAATTTTGAATACCAGTAGGCAATTAGAAACATTTGAAATTTGATATTTTGAAAGTATTTCATTTTGGAAAGGCGTTCAAAGGCAGCAGCACACTTTTATTCTGGGTCCTACCTGTGGACAAGAAGATTAATTCTGCTAAGAGCATGCTTTCAAAACTGGAAAACCTTCAGGATGAGTCATATTTGTGACAGGGTGACACCAACAACCCTGAGAGGTGGTACAGAAAGAAAAAGATGGGAGGCAGGGTTTGGGAAGTTCTGATGTTGAGAAGTTTATTTAATTTCCCATGGTTTCCATGGAGGGACAGCAAGTGGTAGAATACTTCATTGGTGAGTTCTGAGTGTTTGAGGGACTTTATACTCTCGTGTATCACAAAATATATAGGAATTTGCAGAGAACTTTAGAACCAGGAATCCCAGGAATTTTGTTGGGACTGCTATTAATTTTGACTGACGTTGAAAAAAAACACCCCAATAATAGATTATATAGAAAGTGAAATAGGAAAGAGCCATAAAAAAGGAACGTATACTCATTATGAAGCTGTTTATGTACAAAACTGGCGATGGGGAGCGGTCTGGTAAAGCAGCTGTGGTGCTGCTTAGACCTATGGAATTCTGGCTGCTCTCCTAGGCCAGTCACTGCAGCCTGCTTTTTCTCTGAAACTGGGTTGATATTCCCAATTTTGTAAGATTGTGAGTTAGATAATAGCTACTATTATTACTGTTTCTCTTTGTTACAGAATTCAAATGTTTAAAATAATACATGTATTTTGTTTGTAGTATGGTTCCTAGAAAATAGGCATCTCAATCAGTAAATCATTTTCATTATCAGGAAAATGCATCATACAGGTCACCAGAGGAAGTCAGTCTCCTCAGCACCACTCTTTAAAATTTGCACTCCATATATTTGGAAAAAATATAAGTGAGATTTTGTAAAAGATGCTGCTTACCTATACTCCGTGGGTCCCTTTGGAAATGCTGGCAGGTTATTGATCTGCATAGAAGATTACACCCTGAGATGCTCACTGGTCCTGATGGTAGCAAGCACAAAATGAATAATAGTTACATTACCACTTTAGTCTCCTTGCACTCTATGATTATAATTGGAGAGAAGGAATATGGTCCTTGCCTGATTCTGTATATAGTTGTATTAGAACACAGCCATGCACATTGACTTAAGTATTTTGTATGGTGGCTTCCACTCTGCTGTGGCAGCGTTGAGTAGTTGTGACAGAGACTCTATGTGGCCCACAAAGTAGAGAGTATTTACTGTATACTGGCTCTGTACAAAAAGTGTTTGTCAACTTCTGGAATAGGCAGTTTTCACCTTTTAAAAATTAGAAGAATCAGCTAACACATAACTTTCTTGATGCATGTAAATCAGAGAAATTAAATTCCTGTTAGTGAAGAACTAAGTTTTGTGGATTTATTGTCTGTAGCCACTCATTTAATTATATACAGAAATCAGAATTTCAAATGAGAATTGGCAGTTGTAGCATCTGGGGATAAATATTTTGTTTGTTTGTTTATACAATTGTAGAATCATGTTTTGTTTGTTTGTTTATACAATTGTGGAGTCATGTAGTCGGTTTGTATTTCTTATAAGTTAGGATTTAAAAACTGCAGTGTAATTGATACTTGTTTCCCACTAATCTAATAGAATTTTGATGGAAGATTATTGTGAATAACCATTTTCCTTTTCCAGCCTTTTTTCTTTGGTAATAGCTCTTTTTGATTAAATCAACTTGCTTATAGTTTAGAGGGATCACTTTTTACTGACTGTTTTATTGTAACTTATTATAGAAAGGGCAGTACATTGTTAGCTAGCTTTTTCTGATTCGAACTTTTCAGCAGGTGGGACACTGTGGGAAGAGCTCTGACTCTAGAGCAGGCGTCCCCAAACTTTTTACACAGGGGGCCAGTTCACTGTCCCTCAGACCGTTGGAGGGCCGCCACATACTGTGCTCCTCTCACTGACCACCAGTGAAAGAGGAGCCCCTTCCTGAAGTGTGGCGGGGGGCCGAATAAATGGCTTCAGGGGGCCGCAGTTTGGGGATGCCTGCTCTAGAGCTTGGTCTCAAATTCTGACTTTACTCTTCTGTGTGACCAAGGACATGGTGCTTAATCTTTCTGAGTCTCCATTTTCATTTCTAGAATGAGGATAATAGTAATTTTCTTAGGCTTGCTTTAAATGATTACATGAAATGGCCTGTGGAAAGTTCTTCAGTACATTGTTTGGCTTATGGTAAGCACTCAGTAAATGTTTAGCTGCTGTTGCTAGGAGTAGTTTTATTCAGTATAAGCAGAAGAAATGACTGGTTTTCTTGGAGAAGTAGATTTTGTTTTTTTAAAACAGTATTATTGTACTTTAATAATTTAAAAAATTATTTCCTATAAGAGAAAATATCGTTATATAAATGAGATTGTTCTATAAACCCAGATTAATATTTTTAAACAACTTAACATTTTCTTTAAAAAATAACAGGAGAAAGAGAAAGAGTTAGAAAGAGAACGAGAAAGAGACAAGAAAGATAAGGAAAAATTAGAATCTCGCTCCAAAGACAAGAAAGAAAAAGATGAGTGTACTCCAACAAGGAAGGAAAGGTATAACATTTTTCATATTTAATGTATATACTGGTTTCAAGATTTGCAATGGTGCTTTATAATATTTTCATCATCGATGCCAGCAAACTGGAAGTGTTTGTTGATGATAAACTTGGTTTGGATCCTGCCTGCAGGAGGCAGAAGTAGCTGACAAGTGGGGCACTTAGTTGGCACTTGACTTAGTTAACTGGGGCATCATGCCTTTACATGGTTTATATGGTATCCTTAGCCTTAGTTCAGTGTGAGAATTCAGTTACAGTATTAGATATCAAACCTGAGGCTTAAGTAACAAAACAACTTGCTAGATCTTCCTTGTTGTATCCAATATAAGTATTTTTTCCAGTCTCTGTGCTGAGGCTGCTACTTGTAAACTTGAGTCTCAGTCTTATCTTGAAAGGAGATTGTATACATAGGCCATAGCTCACTTCAAGTCTTCTTTCTAATGAAAAGCATTTCTCTTTGTTTTTATTTTTTACTCTCACAGTTCCTAAATCTCTGATTTAGCAAAGAAAATTGCTTCCCTTAACAGAACCGAGGTTTTCCTAATAAAAAGACCAAGCAATTGTAAATAAAAGTCTAGCTTAGTCACACTACAGATGGTTACAAATAAAAAGTTATGCCAATTGGTTAAAAGTCTGACCTTTTTTTGTCTTTTATTACTATTTTGACATAATTTTAGATTTATAGGAAAGTTGCAAGAATAGTGTAATTGATAGATGGCCTTCACCCACATTACCCAAATGTTAAAATAAAGTATTTCTACTTTTGCTTTATTCTTCCTCTTCTGTCCCACCTCCAACCATTTAAGAATAATTTGCCAACATGATGTCCCATTCTCTTAACCACATTCATTTAACCACAATAAAAATATCAGTTTAGGAAATTAACATTTAAAAAAACTGATATTCTATCCAGAGACCTTAATTAAATTTTGCCAGTTGTTTCAGTAATATCTTTTATTGCAAAAAGAAAATTCAATTTAGTTGAATTCGTTTGTTGTCTCTTGACAGCCTATCTTTAAGACTTACTTGTTCTTGCTACAAAGGACTTTGAATATTGTTAAAAGTAACATTACATGGTTAGTGAGAACAAAAGTTAGACTAAGCTGGTAGCAATTAATAGCTAATTTAGTAAAGGAAAATGAATACCTGATCCTTTGCTCATTTATGGTATGTTTTGGGGGCTTTGTTCCATAGGAAGAGGCGACACAGTACATCCCCCAGCCCATCTCGCAGTAGCAGTGGTAGACGAGTGAAATCCCCATCACCAAAATCGGAGCGATCAGAGCGTTCAGAAAGATCTCATAAAGAGAGCTCACGGTCCAGGTCATCTCACAAAGATTCTCCTAGAGATGTTAGCAAAAAAGCCAAAAGGTAAATGCAAGTCATTTTTGCTAATATTTCAGATACCAATTTCCTTGTCATCTCACCAGCTTTTGAAAATAATTTGGTTGGCATACTTTTTTTTTTAAAGGATTTTAGAAAACCAAAGAGATACACTTTCATTTTTGGTTATTCCTTCCCACCTCCTCATCCCAATCTCTTTCATGACTGAAGTACAAGGCTTCCAGCAAGTGAGGATCAGCCAAGAATTTTAAACATCATATCCAGTGTTTGCTGTGGAATAGGGTTAGCTGCTTTACTTTTCATTCTGTTCTTTAGTTTCTATAGAATATTCTTTGATTTTTGTCAAAGCTGAAATAAACACACGTTTTTTTCCCCCATAGCAATATTATTAGCAAGTTCTTGGGTAGAGATTTTTGGAAATATGTATTATAAATACTATTTTTAAAGTATGTAGTATTTTATATACTTTTTTAGTTCCAGAAAAATGGTTCAGAAATGTATTATTTATCTGGTGATACATTGAGGAATTTTCCTGAGAGCTAAAACTGCTTTATGTGCTAGTACTTTATTATTAGAACTATTTTTAGTATAATCTTTTGACATAATTTTAGATATATAGGAAACTTTCTCCTTTTCTAAATGGCACCTGCATATATATGTATGTGTTATATATGTATGTATATGTACATGTATATTTATTGATTAATCTTCATGAATAGCACTTAAAAAATTACAGTGTCTTAAATGATGCCGTTGAATGATACTGCAGTAGTTGTTTGCTTTAGGATGATAAACTTCAAAGCTGCTGTGTTTTTTAAATTTTGTGAATGATCTTAAGTGCAACTTTGAACTTTATCTTCTAGATTAAAGGTTCAAATTTGGGGATTAACAGTCATTTGAGGAGCTTGTTTAAAATGCAAATTCTCAGTTCCAACCTCTAGAGATTTTGATTCAGTAGAGCAGTGGTAAGGCACAGAAATCTGTCTTTATAAACAAGTGCTCTACTGGTGATCATTGATGCAGTGCATAGTAAGTACAAAATAAATCTGTTTGTGTGTATGTACAATAGACAGAGTTTAAATTTTAGAAGTTTTTTTGTCTTAATCCAGTGATTTTTCACTGTGCTCTGTTAAAGATAATTTTTGATAGTTTAAGGATAATCAGTTTTGATCACGTGAATACTTTGATCAATTGGGATTTTTTTGTTTGTTTCCTTAGATCACCATCTGGTTCAAGGACACCTAAAAGGTCTAGGCGGTCACGATCTAGATCCCCTAAAAAATCAGGGAAGAAGTCCAGATCCCAGTCCAGATCTCCACACAGGTCTCATAAAAAGTCAAAGAAAAACAAACACTGACGTAAATTTTTAAGATGCTGTCACTTATTGGAAATGCCATTTGTTTTGTGCCTGAATGGTCTGTTTTTTAAAAAAACAAAAACAAAAAATCAAATGAAAGAGCATTCCTGGGGTTTTTTGTTTGTTTGTTTGTGAATGCATGTGTAAACTCATGAGTAACTGCATCTGTAGATCTGTCATTGTTTTATATTGTGTAAATTACTTTCATTGTGGCTATTTCTCAAGGTGAAATTTTATTGTGCTAATGAATTTCATCAGAAATGTGTATAATGGATCTGCTGGCAGTAGTAATATTTTGTTTTAGGATGTTGTGACTTAGCAAAAATAATACAGATGTCTTCCCCCTTTTGTAGCTTTGACAATTTGAATTAGATTTCAAATAAAATCTGAACAGAAAACTATAATGTTGTTTTTTTGCCCCACTGGTGATACTAAGTCCCTTAAAGTCCTACTGGTTTCGCACTACTGTTGTATTTCATAAATCTGATGCACTTTATAAGCTCCAGTGTTAAAGTAGCTTAAGTTTTATATTTACGAAGATGACTATCCAAATTAAGGGACCTGAAACTCCTATTTGATGGTTTGCTAACCATTTTCTTTGATAAGTTTCTCTTGGGTAATACTAATACCCAGATATCAAAGACTAGGTAGATATGGCATGGTGTTTTTTTCGTGGGGTGCCTGGATAAAAGATTTTTTCACAGAAGCAATATGTATTCCATACATCCAACCCATGTTGTGAGTAACTACTTACTTTTAGGGGAAAATTAAATATCTTCTTCATTTCCTCTTCTATCATGAAAGAAGTTTATTTGTAAAAGAAATTTTCTAACAAGGTTTGGCCATAGAATTCTCTTGTATGATAGTTTACTTTTTATAATATTCTGTAGGCTGTCTTTCAAACACTGGCATCAAAATATTTTTTTACAAGTTTCTGTTTAAACAGCTTAGTTGGTTTCCTCCCCACCCCCCAAGAGACTTGGGTTTCGTTATAGTTTTAAGTAAAATTTAAAAATAAAATGTTTTTCAGCAAACTTAGTATCTAATGGTTTGTAAATTCAAGGTGCAAAAAATTGATTTAAACCATTTGCAGAGTTGAACTCTATTATGAAAATAAATTTGCTACGGTATAAGGAAGAAATAAAACTTGTATAATGTTGGTGGTCGTAATATTGCTACAATTATAATAAAGGGTTATGTAGAATTGAACTGACACTATTATTTGTGAATCTTGATTTCAGTTTTTTATGTAGGTACTTTATACAGTGGTTTGGGGTTTTTTTTCCTCCCTAAAAGAGAAAGTGGAAAATATTCTAACAATGGATTATTTTGATTTAGTTTGCTTTTTAATAAAATTTTTTCAACTTGTTTTACTTAATCTTGCCTAGTCACAAATTAAGATGCTGTATCCATGATTTGGAGAGTAGCTATATTAGCTGAGCAGTGAGATACACTATTTTCACACTGTGCACACCTATATATAATAGCTTTGGAAATGAGCCAGTGACTGTTTTACTTAATGGTTCTTAGCAGCATGCAAATACTGCTTGAAAGTTATTTCCTTATCATTCACTGTTTTGTTAGTCCATTTTGTTAGGAAACATTAATTCCTAAGATTTGTTTAGAATAATGAAAAGTGAACATTTGGTGCTGATACTCAAAAACCTATAAATGTAGCCATTTAAAAAGTAACATTATTTTCTCCCCTGTTCATTGCTTGGGAGAATGGAATTTTGTAACTACCTTACTTTGCAAAAATAATGGTAGTGTTGAATTGGTGGTGATTTTGGCATTCCATCTTACACTGGTATCTAGTATAGGCTTAGAAATAATTGTTCAGGTAATTTTTCCAGTCAAGTTGCAAGGGGTGCTTATTTCTCTCTCTTTCAAGAAAAGATCCTGGAGAAGCAGGATTGAGTAAAAAAATTTTAGGTCAGTGCTGGGTGCTTATTTGTAATATTTTTCCTACTGCAGTGGAGTTTAACAGTTCTTTTTATCTGGATTCAGATACGTATTATGGTTTATCTTACAGTGGGTGAAACTGACTTTGTTTTGTGAAGATTTCTTAGGCCTGATAGAATATGTATTCTGTGAAGTTTGTTCATTTAAGTATTAGATTGTATTGGATTTTATTTTCTTGAATTGCAAATGGTATTATTAGATAGGTTATTTCCAGTTTTACTTCATGACAAAATATCTAGAGTAATCCTGCTTAATAACCCCATGGATTCTATGAAAGTTTAATGGGATCAGAAATTGGTGACTTATAAGGGGGAAGATATTCTACCATGTTTTTATAATAGTTCATTATTCATGTTTCTTATCTAAAGAACACTCAAGTTACAGAGCAAAATTTCTATAGGTTGATTAGAATGTTCATAAGCATGGTCTTCCAGTTACAGGAAAGACCATGTTCCATCTGTAGACACCTACTGTCCTCTGCCACAGCTACATGCCAGAGTGGTTATCCATGGTTCTTATAAAGGGCATGACTTAGGCTTTTTACCCTCCAACTTAATGTTTATACACAGGGATTGTTTACTAGGTTAATGACTTTTAACTCCCCTCTTTTCTATAGGTGAGAGAAAATGAGTAAGTCTCTTACCAAAGAGAGAGAGAGACCTATGATGGAAAATGATCATGTCTGTGAATTTAGTCTTTGATATTGTAGTTCCTTATTACAGATAGTAAGCATCTAGGAATTTCTGAGCTATAACATGTTGAGAAGTTAGAAATTAAAGAACTAACACAGCAAAAAGTGCTGACTCAAAAGATGCTCTTGTTTGGCTCAGAATGTTTTTGGCTTTTCTGCTGAAGGTGGCAGAAATTATACAGACCTGATTTTTCTTCTTTTTTTGAGACAGAGTCTTCCTCTGCCGCCCAGGCTGGAGTGCAGTGGCACGATCTTGGCTCACTGCAACCTCTGCCTCTTGGGTTCAAGTGATTCTCCTGCCTCAGCCTCCTGAATAGCTGGGACTACAGGCGCCCGCCACCATGCCCAGCTAGTTTTTTGTATTTTTTTTTTTTTTTTTTTTTTTTGAGACGGAGTTTCGCTCGTTACCCAGGCTGGAGTGCAATGGCTCGATCTCGGCTCACCGCAACCTCCGCCTCCTGGGTTCAGGTAATTCTCCTGCCTCAGCCTCCTGAGTAGCTGGGATTACAGGCACACGCCACCATGCCCAGCTGATTTTTTGTATTTTTAGTAGAGATGGGGTTTCACCATGTCGACCAGGATGGTCTCGAACTCTCGACCTCGTGATCCACCCGCCTTGGCCTCCCAAAGTGCTGGGATTACAGACTTGAGCCACCGCGCCCGGCAGTTTTTTGTATTTTAAGTAGAGATGGGGTTTCACTGTGTTAGCCATGATGGTCTTGATCTCCTGACCTCGTGATCTGCCCACCTCGGCCTCCCAAAGTGCTGGGATTACAGGCGTGAGCCACTGTGCCTGGCCTTGATTTTTCTTTATTACAGACCATTCTTGTGGGCTTACCCTGAGACTTTTATCCCTATTACTGAATCTTGGAGAGAATACTTGCTTATTTATGACTTATGTGTTTCCCCCCAAATTTTAATATTCTTGAGCACTTGAAAATACTTCGGAGAAATTTTAACCATGATTAAATTTAGGTTTATTAGAATATTCTGTACGTATTTGCCTCCATGGTGGCATAAGTTCTGAAAAATGACAATAGTTTATCATCATTATTATCATTCATAATAAGGGTAAATAAATCTCTGTATTGCCAAAGTGACTTAAACTGTTCTGATGACCACACAATGTGATTTCTTTAACAGAGAAGTTTGGTTTTAAAAATAAATAATGCCACTTTTCTAAGACTGTACAATTTAAAAATAAGGTTTGATTTTTTTTGTTTATTGTTTTCCTCTTCTATTACGTTTTAGTGAAAAGCCTAATCACAGGAAATTGTGCAGATACTAGCGAAGGTACTAGTATAAGTTTAAAGGAACATGTGACTATACAAATTTCACATTTACAAAGTGCTTGGTCTCTTCATATTTCACACGCATGTTTTAGAATAGATTTTAAGGTGCGTTTAATTCATTATCCTTTTGACTTTTAAAATTTTTATTATCAACTTCCTAGGACTTATACAAATAAGTACAAATCCCAGGGGAATTGTTGTGATTATAGACTAAAAGGTGGGAATGTGCTGCTGTTCCGTGAGCCTTGTTCATTGTTGAAAATTTGATGCCTCAGTGTTTATTCAGTACCACCTCATGGAGCTTCAATGTAAATGGATTATATGTATAATTGGTTATTTGTATAGTTTTGTAGATTGTAGATTAAATGCACTCATCATGTCACATGTAATTGTGCTTGGAGTATTTGTGTTTTATTCTTTTACTTCAGCGGGTTCTTGTCTGTTACATCTCTGGTGATTTGAAATATCAGGAAAGACAGTTTGTCAGATGTTAGAATAATATAGTTGAAGTGAGCTTGGCTAAAATATTCTACAGTAAGACAATTTCTTTTGGGTGAACCGATTCTTATAATTTAGTTACTTTTGACGTAAGGATTAGGTTTATTGTTGAGCTGCTTTCCAGATCAGACTGTCACTTTATAGTTTTTCTACATAAAGATTATATAGTTGCAAACAAAGCTTGTGAAATTTTCCTTTTGTTGCTTCTTTTAATTACTTTAATAAAAGTACATTGTTTTCATAGCAAACTTAGACTGTTCACGTAATTTTCTCCATATTGTTTTTCCAATGCAAGCTCAGTAAATACCTAGTTTTTCAGCAGCTTTCTCTCAAGTGAAATAAATGATGTGACATGTTTATCAGTTATGGCTAAAATGTTACTACATCTTACATGTTTAAACTACAACCAAATATTTTCATGCTAGATGGTTCTCTTGGAAATTTCATTTCCTTATCGGTTCCCTTTTTAAAAAGTTACTGTTTATTTCATTGAGAAAAATTGTAAACATTCTACAAAAGTAAAATAGTACAGTGAACATTACATACCATCAACCTGCAGATAACAACTTAGATGTATCTCTAAATATTTTGTTTTTAAAACATACCTGTAGTGTCATTGTCATATTAGCAAATCATTGGATCTTTTTTAAAAAGACAATTATTTTAATTGTGATAAAATGCTCATAACAAAATTTGCCTCTTAACAAAGTGGTGTTAGGTATACTCATATGATTATGCAGCCAATTTCCTGAACTTTTGTGTCTTGTAAAATTGAAACTCTGTACTCATTAAATAACTCATTTTTCTTTTCCTCCCGTCTCTCAATATCATCATTCTACTTTCTGTTTCTGAGTTTCACTACTGTAGATACAGCATACAATTGAAATCATACAGTATTTGTCTTTTTTTGTGACTGCCTTATTTCACTTAGCCTATCATCAATGTTCATCCATGTTGCAGCATATGTATATTGTTTTCTTTGTAAAGCCCTCTGTTTCTTTGAAGTTTCTATTTTCTTATGGAATTTGAAAATGATTTAGCCCAAGTGATTCATCAGTATTTTCTATTTTGAGTAAAACTTCGAAAGAGAACATGTAATACCAGGTGTATATGCCAACTACTTTGTGCTGTCTGTTCTCTTTAATGCTTACATATGATGTACTTTGATATCAACCCTTCGTAGCATAGGGTACAAAATACACTTTTTAAGCAAACTGATTTTGAAATTGTAGTGAATTGGTACTATTAATGAGCATATTTGAATGCTTTTTTAGTTTTATTTATTGCCCGATGAAAAGTAAACTTAAAATTTTAACATGTAGTAAACTCAGTGATTGGATTAGATATTCATTTTTGTCTCAGAGAAAGGAAAAACAGCTTTTTTGATTTTTTTTCAAGTTATTTTCTCCCATTCTTGGGAAATACGGTGTACCAAATTGTTTGGGAATAATTAACTTACTTTTTGATTTTCAAATGAGATTTGGCATGGCACAATGTTGAAGGAAGAGGAAAGGCCTGGGCTGTGGAGTCATATTTGGATTTGTATACCAGCCATTTGTCTCTACTAGCTATGTGATCTTCTGAAATCTTATTTTATCACCTGTAAAGTGGGGATATTAACCTTGAATGGTTATTGAAAGGATGAAAGTACACGTACATCACTGGCACACAGTTGTCATACAGTGGTGCTTAAATATTCAGTATTCCTGAAAACTAATGGTGGGAACATGTTATAACTAAAACAAGATAAAGAATAACAGTATAATTCCATA